GGCCATCTACAACAAAATTATCTAAAAAGACCAACGACGTGATATGACGTGGCTACATTGCCTTTATCTCACACGATAATAATTTAGCTCACCAACAAAACCACTTTCACGCCATATCTATTAATATACAAGAATGCAATAACTGGCTCATTACAGCGGTCCTTCGTTCGGCGTATGAAGGGTCTAATTTAATATAAACTAGTGTCTACTAACGTGTGACTAGTTGTTCTGAGCAGGAGTTATATTTAAAGCAAGACTGGACCAGCAAGAAAACCGCAGGCCAGAACCAACTTAACCCATTCCTGACCCCAAACGACAGTAATCAATAGTTTGGGAACCCCTAGCATATCGATCTCGACAAACAGATTCGTACAATCTTGCATACGAATGTAATAACCGAGACCAAAAAAAATATTTCCTATGACTTACTCTATTTTTTATTTCTATGCATATATTGTAAATTGAACGCTGCTAAATATCACATGTAGTGTAACTCTTATGAAACAATCACTGGTAAAATAGGCCTGTATGTTTTATAGGCATCTCATTTTTTTTTAAATACATGTGCTGGCGCTTCATGGCAGTCACAGATTACACATGAGAAAATGCATTGTTGTTTTTTTTAACTAATTGTTTAAGTTCGAAAAGTTTACAAATAATTTATTAGAAATTTCCTAAATAAACTCTAAAACACATTTTTCAGACTTGAGTTAAAACCTTATTTTTTCTTGTTTATCTATTATTCATTAATGCAGGGCTGGTAATTGTGTAAAGGCTAATACAATTACAGAGCCAACGTCTGTTTTTTTGTCTGCTTTCATCACCAGACTCTCAAATCCCATTCTGGCCCATCAGGCATCATACACATGTTGTCATTCGCCGTCGTCCTGCAGACATTTTCAAATTATTCTTATTTCCTCTAGGGAGGTTTTGGGTACTCGTGTGATATTAGCAACGTAGAGAGGGGGAGGGTGGTATTTCTTTTAGAGATTTGCATCCAGCTTAGGGGTTTTAAAGCCAAAAATGGTCCACCAACCTAAATGTGGCATACACCCAAATAACTACACAATTTTTCTCCTTATATTAAGAGTACAGAGTGCAAAACATCACCTTTTTGCACAATTAAAAGAAACAGTTCGACATCGGTCGAGAAAATTGCCCATGACAATGAGAAATATTGTACGTGATTACTCCATGATATTTTAATGGTACTTATAGTTAAACTAATATGAGTGAGACCTCGTATTTTTATATCAATCTTCGATGCGACACACCTGCATATTACGCTTAGATGAAGCGTAACTATTCTCACAGAAAACATAATTTCAAATCCAAAGTCAATCAAGTCAGGTATAGAAATATGTTTGTACTGCTAATCAGTGGCGTAGCGAGGTCGGGTGTCACCCGGTGCGGCACTTAATGGTGTCACCCCCCAGAGGCATAGAGACCCTTCCCAGGGACAAACTTTCAAATTTTCGATTTGCACCCCCCCCCTCAAGTTTTCGATTTGCACCCCCCCCCCCTCAAACTTTCGATTTGCACCCCCCCCCCTCGAGTTTTTCTCTATATATTTTGCTATTTTTTGCCTTGGTGTCACCCCCCCTAAATGGTGTCACCCGGTGCGGTCCGCACCCCCCGCCCCCCCCCCCCCCCCCCGCTACGCCCCTGCTGCTAATCACTTATCGGTTTGAACTTACATTTCAAATGGAATTACTGTGGGTATTTATGACGAAATGTTTAAAAGCCCTAAAGTGAAATACAGAACATTAACTTTTCATAGCTTCAGACAAACGCCATTGGGGCCAGTCAACAACATAGATCTAGCAACTTTCGCTCTTTGGACGTATTGTACACTAGACCGTTGAAGATATAAACGGGATCACGTTCATTTATCGAACATGGGCCGGGGAAACGTGAGCAATATTTCATAGCCATGAAATATACTTTCGTTTAATTTAAAAGCATTGGGATTGTGTTCTATCACAAAATGCTCCAGCAATTACTCATAGATCGAATGAATAAACATGTAATTGTGATTTCAGGCTCAATTAAATGTCGTAGGCACTGTTTTGAATTTAAAAATCCATAACAATGCGACTAATATGGCCATGCTAATAAAAAAATACCGCGTAAATGCTTCATCCGCTCACCCCCCAAACAAAAATCTACACACTAGCCCACAGTTAGCAGTGGGTCGTTTTACAAGGATTTTACGAGATATTTGATATTTTTTATAGAGAAAAATATAATAGACACCAGTTGAAGTTGGTAACAGCTGTTTCGGTAGGCTTTATGTCAGGTAGGCTACACCTGTTTCATGTAATATTTCAGCTCGTTTGGTAATAGAATTTAATATCATGTAACTATGTATGCCTATTCCTTTCTAAAAGTATGAGAAATTCATTGAAACGACACATCCATTTAACCAAAAGGACAAATATCACGTGGTTAAGACAGACACTAAATAGGGTTTTGTGGGACGTGACTTCGGGCAAGCTTGACAACACATGTCCACTCAATGTACAGCAGAGTAATAAAACCAGGGATTTGAAATAAATTGGCCGGAAACACTGGCTTTCTCTCAAACGTACTGCACAGACAGCAGTTAGGCGGCTCATATTTTCTATACATTTTCTACCAGCGTAAAATGGGTGCTAGACAGCTCTGAGACGTGTACCACAAAAGTTTAACCTGCTTCAAATGGTATCTACATTAGTGATACATAACTTAAAAGTACGCTTTTCCTATTTGCACCTCCCTTCCCAGACGAAATTGAAAATATATTATTTAGCCAGTGTTCACCCCCTCCCCCGAAAGAAACACTGCACCCAATCCCCTGAAACTCGATTGTGAACCCAAATATTATCCCCTCGTCATTTCTTTGTCCCCGGCTTAACATGGAATCAGCGCATAATGGGATTGTTATCCATTGACACACGCTATTCTAGCATACCAACGTATTCTATAGCTTATCTCTTCAAATCCGACACAAAGCTAGTCCTCCACAAACAAATAGGAAAAATATTATAAAAGCTGAGCAAGAATAATAAAACAGATAATCTTATTTCAAACAAGCATTGTTAAACATTACAGCCAACTGCGTACCCCCATTATAGCGCAGCGTAAACAAAAATCTGTAGCGAAGAAGTGCAGAAAGGAAAAAACGGGGGAGAAATATGCCTTGATAAAGTCCACGAAAACAGAGACCAGCAATACCTGTTAAGACTAACGTCCTTATGCGGGCACGTGAGAGATTGAGACAAGCTTGCGATTTAACTCTTAGTAAACACAGACACGCACACATACAAACCCCCGTGGCTGTCTGCTTTTTCTAAAATCTGGCAAGTTTTCTCCCTTTCCTCCCATCACAGCATGAAAATATGACAATATTTTTAACTAGGATCGTAGGGTAAACACAGAATGTAAATACTCTTTGATTGTCTTGTTCTTCTGTGACATCTAAATATTGCATTATCCATAGGTTTACTTTGTACTTTACAGGAAAACCAGAGACAGGCAAACGGTTAAAGCAATGGCATTCAGATTGGCAATTTGTAATTCTGATTCAGGGTTGCTGATATGAGATCTTGACCTGATAAAAGCACTCACCCTGGTCAAAAACCTAAGGGGCTTGGTTTGCTGTTAACTTTACCTAATCAATACACCAACACTAGTCCTAAACCTAAGGGGCTTGGTTTGCTGTTAACTTTACCTAATCAATACACCAACACGTCCTAAACCTAAGGGGCTTGGTTTGCTGTTAACTTTACCTAATCAATACACCAACACGTCCTAAACCTAAGGGGCTTGGTTTGCTGTTAACTTTACCTAATCAATACACCAACACTAGTCCTAAACCTAAGGGGCTTGGTTTGCTGTTAACTTTACCTAATCAATACACCAACACGTCCTAAACCTAAGGGGCTTGGTTTGCTGTTAACTTTACCTAATCAATACACCAACACGTCCTAAACCTAAGGGGCTTGGTTTGCTGTTAACTTTACCTAATCAATACACCAACACGTCCTAAACTTAAGGGGCTTGGCTTGCTGTTAACTTAACCTAATCAGTAGGCCTACACCAACTCTAGTCGTAAACTGACTAAAAAATGAAGTACACTTCTTGTTCTTATTTTACCTTGTGCAAATGAAGGCAAAAAAGTTTTGACAAGTAGTAGTCTATTGCACACACATCTTAACTACAGGACAAAGACAGTCTTAACTTAAAAACTATTAAAAAAACATTGTGAAACTGCCCCATGCTGTAAAAGGAAATATTTTGACAACCTGCCAAAACCCACTGAAAGGTATTCAACATTTACAAATAAAGGAAAGTGGATAAATACTTTAAGATATCAGCAAATATTAAAATTAAATGACAAAACAAAAACAGATAGGCCCTAATCTATTGACTTAAGTCTCAAAAATTTACATATGTTAAAATTTCTTTAAATGACCAGTTTGTTTACGATGAAAAAGAGCAAAATAAGACAGTTTTATTTAAAGCAATGTCAACAAACAAAACTGTTAACCCCCAGATGTTAGCTCTAATCAGCATTATCATGATGATGAAAATCAACAGTTCAACAAATCTCACAAATTCACTCAGCTCTTATCAGCTTGCCTACAGGGCACTGTGCTTTGTGCTATCTAAACAAAACATGCCATAGTGACCAACAAATGTGAAATCTACATTCAATGGCATCTGCATCTATGTTTACAAAGCTTTTTTTTAATAAATAAATCCTTTCCTTAATAGATACAGCACAATAAATAAAAAGAAAATATCACATGCTATAATATTAAAACTGTCAATTATTTAAAATTATGTCGCATGTTGTTTATTTTCGTAACTTAGTGTTTGATACAAAAAATTATTTTAGCAAGGATTTATATATTTTCCTAAATGACAAATAATTCAACTTTAACAGGCAGGCCCAATGCTTTTATGAACTACAAAGAAAGATGTCATGTGTCACACTTAAAAAAAAAGAATCTTACTTGGCCTTTGTTAATAAATCCTGTTTCTCTTGCCACTCTGTTTGCAACATCAGGACCACCATTTATGTGCACAGCAAACTGGTTGATGTAAGTTTCTGACGAGGACAGTACAACAAGGCCTAGTATCCATACAAACACATACAGAAGCTCAGCTGTCCTAGTGTATGTTGTGTACATGATAGTGTACAAAAGCTGGTGCTATAGTGGTGATGTTAGTTAATTTGTAAATCCTTGTTCAAGAGCTTCAATACCTTTCTAAATCCTGAAATGAAATTTAAATTAGATAGTTAATAATTTGAAGTTGTTTTACTGTAAACTAATCACACTTGATGCATAGCATAGTTCTTATCACAATGAACATGTATGTATACCCCAACCTGGAATCATTAATAACAATACTTTAACCTTTTAAATGACTAGTGTTGAGTGAGTTCAGGGTTGATGTGTTGTTATAAGAGGTAGTAATTGTGCACACATAAAAGTGTGCATAATGGACACATTGCATTCTCTCACTTGTCAAACCAAGGACTTAATCATTTTTATAACCACCAGAGCATAGTTCGTAACAAACTATCATAATTAACATATAGATATAACTGGACTATAATTTAAGTTAATTCTCTGTAGGCATGAGTTTAATAAATCAATGTGATATTAAATTGTAAGCATACCTGATATATTTATGGTTCAAACATACAAACCATTTATTTTAAATTAATTGTGCCTCATTTAATATTATATAAATGTAGTCTGTACTAACAGCTAATAAAACATATGTTTTAGCAGCAAAATGACAGATTTACAATATTGTTTTCAGTACAAAATAATATAACAACAATATTTTCTATGATCAATTTATGATCAGTAGCCTTATATTTCTGTAGTTTTAAGTGGGCAGATGAAGTAGAGTTAATGTTTCTTGACCACAGCATATGGAGAGATGGTCATCACTTTAGGTACATAAAATTGGCCGAGGCTAGTAATGTGAAAAGAAGGTGCCTCATTAAATTTAAGTAGGCCTAATTATTTCACATTTTAAGGAAGATTTATGTTTTGAAAGTTTAAAAAATGTTTCAAAGTTTCATTCATGTACCTGTTTTTAAACAAATGTATTAAAACTTTTCAGTAATAAATAAAGCAATGTTTTCACCAAAGCTCGTGTACTTCAGCAGCCATCTTGTTTAAGTCATTTTTTGGTAAACATAGCGGAAGATTCAGGGGAAGACACTCTATCTAACAAATGGCAGTTGTTTATATATTATTATTATATAGCAAATATTGCTGGCAAACAATGCTGTTTAAAGTTAATTTCTAACCTGTAGGCCTATATTGATATAGGCCTATTTAATTTATTTTGTATTAGGACCCTATTTAGCCATTGATTTTGGTTTCTTATTTAATTATCTATAGGCCTAATATTTGACACAAATATAGGCTATCACAATATCCTTCTATTAAAGCCTTAACAATGAGGCAACTTTTTCTGACATAACTAGCCTCAGCCAATTTTACGTACCTAAAACAATAGATTACCCACAAATAATAATATTAATTAGGCCCATTTAGCCCTAATAACTTGACTTAAACTGGTCTTAACTTATGGCCTACCACTACCTTTTTAGTATTAGTACTATTAGGCCTACTATTTTAAAGTAATTTAAAGCCATATAAATATTATAAAAGGCCCATTAGTCAATAGGGCATTCATTAGCCGGGATTAGGCCTAATAAAACTAAAAGTAGGCAGTTTGATGAAAAATTAAAAAGAAAATTTTTTTTTAAAAAAGTATCAGTAATAGCTAGGACAATGGTAAACTAAGTCAATTTAGCATATATAAACTTTCTGTGCAAAGTCATTATGACTGAAAAAAAATTCCAAAGTCATGGGTCCGTGTGGCATAGCTAATGAAGAAAAAACTCCTAGACCTGTGACCTGATTTCATGAGTGGATATCTGGATTAATTTTTAACATTTTTCAATGAAACTTAACAGAAGCATATTAAAATAGCTTAGAAATGATTGTAGATAGCTAAAAGTAACCAAGATTGATTAATAACTTTAAAAAAATATTAATGAATAAGGTTGGCAGATATTGGTAACACAAAAAATTAGCCTTATAGTTCTAATTTTAAAATCATCCATATTTATTATTTTAATTACTTAGACTGTGCACACTTATTATTTAGGCAGTTTACAATGGGAGTCAGTATTTGAAGATCTAAAGTAGGATCTATTTTATGAAATTATGTGTGACATTTAATGGGCGTTTCCTTTCTATAGAAACTAAAAATCTTAAATGAAGCTATGTTCTAAAGCACACTAAATTGACTACATATTTTCTTTAGGCACAGAACAGTCTGCCTAAAGATAAGACATACTATATCAGATTAGATTTAAGCAATTGTGACTGTCCCCTTCTCTCTTTTTCATCCTTGATTTGGGACCAGGTTATGTCGGAGTTACACAACACAATACATACAGGCATAATAACAAACTAGTTTTACAATCATCAAATAAGCCTATGTAATATGTATGTACATATGTACACAAACAAGACAATAAATTGTAATTAATGTACTTGTCAATAAGTTTGAAAAAGATATATACAACACAGACGACAAGTAACAAGTAAATTCTTTAAAAATCAAATGTTATATGTACACATTTACACATGCAAGACAATAAAATTGTAAATAATGTACCTGTCATTGAAGTTGAAAAATTGAAAATAAAAAAATATACATGACCCACCAGTTTTGTGTTTTTTTAACAGTGTACAAATATTGACTTTAGATTGACTTAGTGTTCAGAATCAGTGCGATGTATTGATTTTTTTTGTATTGCAATACCAAACATACATCTCAGTTCATATTGTTTAAACTCCTGATGGTTTTAGCCAGACAAATTACTTCTGACAATGTAACATGTCAGTGGTGTATTGACAAATTCTGACTATGATGTTCAGAATCAATGTGTTATGGTGTAGGACATAATTCACATTTTCCAATTGTAAACTTCAGCCATCTGACAATGTAAATATGTCTGTGGTGTATATTATATTGAATGGCAAAACTGACTCTGATGTTCAGAATCAATGTAATATAGAATAGGACATAATTAACATTTTGTGAGAAAAAAAAGATTGACAAAATTTAATAATACTGAATATCTATATATATAATTCTCTTCTTCGAGCCGTTAGAAAACAAGCTGCAAACGCGCCTTACAATCCCCTCTCTTCCTCTCTGTCGCTATCACTACCACCCCCACCCCAACCCCACATGATCTGGTGAGCTGTAGTCACGTTAATGTTTACAAATCGTAGACGGGTTTAGTGACGGCTGTAGGGTAGGGGTTGGGGGAAAGGGAGGGGTGTTAGTGTTTTAAAGCAAATATTTTCAATGGCAGCATTGGTACTGTCGAATTCACAAATTATGAATTACTGAAAAGTAGAAAATAAAACAACTAAATAGCTGCGTATGATACGCCACGGGGCGGCTCGTTATCTATAAAAGACATCATAATTACACTCACCAACCACTAATGTCTCAAAACCACCACCAAAATCTCACAAAGTCCCACCCCACGACAAAAAACACAATTTCCCAAAAGAATGACAAAATAACGTACTATGTGACATTTTTTAAGCCCCCACCCGCCCCACCCCCTTCCTGAAGACGGCCCGTGCCATGATCATATTTTGTCAGAAACAATTAGCAAATTATTAATAAAGGTATGAATTACTCAAGTAATAATAATATAAGAACTGTTTGAAGTGGTATTTAATAAACTAACTAAGAATTATGATGACTATTATGAGTTCTTGGCATCTAACTAAGGCATCTGCCCTGCATTCCTAACTAGAACAGCACTTAAAGGTCAAGGACACACTCAGTCACACGCCATAAACAAAAAAAAACTGTCGATATATTAACAACGAGCCGGCCCGCGGCATAACATACGCCGCTATTTAGTTGTTTCTAATTTTCAATAATTCATAATTTGTGAATTCGACAGTACCAACGCTGACACTGAAAATATTTCTTTAAAACACTATAAGTAGCTCGTTAAGGACCATAACCCCCCCCCCACCTTCCTTCCCCCCCCCCCCTCCCCCCCTACGTTTAAAATCGTTGGCTCTGCTTGTAAACATTTAGAGTGAACACAGCTCACTAAAACCATGTAGGGGTGGGGAGGTAGGGAGAGCGTTTGCAGCTTGTTTTCTAACGGCTCGAAGAGGAGAATTATATATATAGATCCAGTTTTAAAATAAGTAAATAAAACATATCTGTCTCTTAATGGCTAAGTTATCAAAACTTTATTTCAAATTGTAAGCGCGAATAAAGTTTTTTTCATTCAAGTTAAGTGTTTTTCACTCTAACAGTCCGTCAATGCCAACCCCACCCCTTCACCTCTTCCGGAATCGGCAATTAGATTATTATAAAATGGCGTCTTAAAAAAAAAAGAGGGTTGGCCACTTACAGAAGCAAATGTATTGTTTTCAGCCTAATTTCATTAAACAAATCTAGTTTTATTTGATAGTAAAGATGTTATAAAAATTGGGTCTAATAAAAAAGTTATTGGGTAACGCACCTGCTTTAAATAATTCGACTTGAAACACAAGCTAAATAAGCGTGACTTTCTCTCGACGGCCTCGTGAAAGACAAAGGAAGAAATTAGGTCAAGCTGCCATTATTAAAATGTTAATTATTCGCCCTGTAAATACATGGGAAGTTTCGAGTACAAATCTTTCCGATTACGATACAATCCTTATTTTTAACTATTATGTACTTCATGAGAAAGAAAAGATTCGATATTTTATATGTCCGCCCAAAACACGGGTGCTTCAAAACCGCGAGAACGAGACTTCCCGAATCGAAAAACCTACTAAAAGCAATAATTTTATTTTAGGCCTAGAGTAGATCTAGATCTAGTCCCCTCTCTTTCACATTAACTTGTACACTAGTTTCAGATGATTTTACTCAGTAAAATTTACTGTCTTAAATTTAAAATTTAAATTAAAACAACTAGAAATTAAAAAAGAAATCTAGAAACTAGATCTAAGATCTAGATCTAGTCTAGAATCTAGATTCTAGATTAGTCAATGTCTATCTCTTTTTATTAGTCTTATCAAGACTTATCTAGAAATCTAATAACAAACTCTAACAAACTGTTAGTTGAACCAAGTTCTAACCTAAGGCTAAGTTTATTTTATGTGACTCAAGTACTCAAGTTAGTAGTCTAGGCCCAAACTAAGCCTTTTTTTTTTTTTACTAAGGCCTTCTAAAGTAGATCTAGATTCTAGATTAGAAATAAACTGAAAATGACAAACCTCCTACTTGTCCTACTAAATTAGATCTAGAATTGAGTTCTAGATGTAGATCACAATCCAATAGTTATTTAACAGAATCTCCCTATTATAAATAAAATATTAAGTACACATAGCCTAGATCTAATCTAGCTTCTTTAATAAAAATAACAGAACACACATCCCGTTTCCTATAGATAGGCCTAGCCTACATTTACAATATTCAGAAGACTGCTTGTGCTATAATCCTTTTTGGGTTTTTTTGTTTGGCCAGGTTTTTTTTTGGGTTTTTTTGTTTGGCCAGGTTTTTTGGAGTATTACTTGCTACTGGTTTAAATTAGATTTATTGTTTTTAAATAGTATTCTGTAAAATGCACGCCTTAATGAAAATAATTTTATTAATTGAAAAAAAAATGTACTGCTTAGAAAAATATGAGAAAACACATGTGTTTTATGCTTTTATGATTATCATTGTTATAACTAAAGTACTGTGTGCCATGTAGGACCTCTTCATCATTGTTTCGACAGCGTAAATAGCGCACATCGTATAAAGCAAAACCGATCTAATAATCTAATCTAGTGTAAATAATATTAGTAATATTATTAGTCTAGATCTAGTTCATAGGCTACACATTACAAAATATGTAAAAATTATTATCCTCTTCTACTTTTTGTCTTGGCATTAACGACTTTTTCAAAGATTTTAAAAGTTGTTTTTTTTTTAAATGCACGTTTCCGTTTACCCTAGCAACTAGGATGTCCGAGAAGCTTGACCGCGTATGCCTGGATCGAAGAAATACCGTTATAAAGCACAATAGCCGGCAGCGAGGTGATGTGAGGGAGGGGGGGAGACTGAGTGAACGACCTCTTTTTGCGCAGTAGCGTAGGCGGGTGAATGATGGAGGATCAGAGCACCCATTAAACCCCTCCCCCAAAATGAAAGATGCATCGCGGTAGGCCTAAGTTACATTACATCAATGGGTTGCGGCGGCGTGATCATGACACTTCTTTCAATTTTAAAATTTTGTTAGCGAGGTGCACCGTCAAAACGACCCCAACAAATCGGCCTAGACAAAAGGTTTTCGACATATTGGTGGCTCCAATCAAATGGGCTTCCATCAAATTGACTCGCGACTAATAGATTTTCGAAATATTGGCTCCGGACATTTGGGCTCACGACAAATGGGCTCGCGACATATTGGCTCCTGACAAAATGACTCCCGACAAATAAATCGTTTGGCCATTATTGGCATAGACGTTACCATTTTGTCCAACCCACAAACCATACGCAGTAAGTTCTTACCTCCACTACCACCATAACACCTGATAAACACCTTTTAAAAACTATTTTATGAACCAAAAGCATAAATTTGCATTGACATATGGAGATCGTAATAGCAAATAAATAAAAAATTGTCAACCACCGTTAAGATCTGTTGCTTAAAAGCAAGAACATGAGTTTGAAATGTATGATATACATGACGTTTATAGGATAAACGAAGTTTTGATTTAATAACCTACAAGCATACTGAAGATATTTGTACAGCGTGGACCTCACTCCCCACAAATTGAGTTGGAACAGCCCACAACCGACTCATTTCAGAGCTAGATGAAAAAGTAGATGACCCTGATGAAAAAGTAGATGACCCTTACCATTAAAATATAGGCCTTCTATTTCTTACACAAGGTAAAATAATTTTTAAAATAAGGCATGTCTAATACGAGCTACATACGTTATATTATTCAAGAGTATTGGCTAAGCTAAATCTGAAGAGTATTTATGAATGATTCCTACTGGCAGGGGTCATATCAATGAGACCGTTTCGACGAGATAGTGTATAGTCATAGATTTGACTAGTTAAAAAAGGGAAATAAGTCATGGAAGTAATTTGAACGTATGCTTATCTTTGCTAAGTTTATTTTAGGAGAAAGAGGACTCGGCTTTCACAGTGGTTTAAAAACAAAGGTAAAAAGAATATACAAGAGCGTGTGGTGGTGTCTATAGAATAAAGATAATCAAACCGCAGCTACGGTAATCGTTTTACAAAACAACCATCAAATCAAAAATTCAAGAAAATAATATTTTTAACTATTAAAAAAATATTATGGATGGCTATGGGCCCCTAAATGGCGTGCCCCCCCACCCGCATTGCGGGGTCTGGCGGCAGTGGCGTAGGCAGGGGGGGTTAGGGGGGGTCATAACCCCCCCCATAGACCCCTCGGTATATATAAAAAGTATGAGGGGGGGTGCAAATCGAAAGTTTGAGGGGGGGGGTGCAAATCGAAAGTTTGAGGGGGGGGGGTGCAAATCGAAAGTTTGAGGGGGGGGGTGCAAATCGAAAGTTTGAGGGGGGGGGTGCAAATCGAAAGTTTGAGGGGGGGGTGCAAATCGAAAGTTTGAGGGGGGGGTGCAAATCGAAAGTTTGAGGGGGGGGTGCAAATCGAAAGTTTGAGGGGGGGGTGCAAATCGAAAGTTTGAGGGGGGGGTGCAAATCGAAAGTTTGAGGGGGGGGTGCAAATCGAAAGTTTGAGGGGGGGGGGTGCAAATCGAAAGTTTGTCCCCGGGTAAAAATTGGAACCCCCCCTTGAGACGATCCTGGCTACGCCACTGTCTGGCGGCACTGTAGTTCCGCCCCTGGGTTCTTATATATATATATATATATATATATATATATATATATATATATATATATATATATATATATATATATATATATATATATATATAACTTCATTTAATAGATGAGGGTCTACTTTATAGTACTATATTATTCTACATCCGTTTGATAAATTAGTTTTTAAGATTTATATTTGTAAATTTGATATTTACGGTATACACTATTTTTTTACAAGCTTTTATTTAACTCACTTCCTCTGTCTGTCGTCAGTCGTCAGTCTAGATAGAAACGCAGGAGTGAAAATTCGGACAGTTCTGCTTGACCGATACGATTCAAAGTTGGCACGTGGGTCAAGACATGAAGACAATGCAATCTGAAACTAAATTTGACTTAATTGGATGCCTAATTAATTTTTTATTAATTAATTAAAATTTGGACCGAATTATTAGGCATGTCTAGCCAACCACACCACACGCGTCATCACGTTCAAAAGCTGCGCCATCACGGTACGTTCAATAGCTGCGCCATCACGTTCAGTAGGCGCGCAATGGTTTTTAGTCATGTAACTCTATTGTAAATAAAACATGTAAAGTACTGAAAAAAAATTCATAAAAAACGTTTTAATAACAAGCTTTTATGTAATGATGCACTAAAAAGTAGAAAATAAATAATACACTATTATTTAAATTACTATAAAGAAAAGCGTGGGTCTCTTCTCAAATATTAGTAAAGGTATCCAATCGGTACTAAAGTGACCCACGCTTTTCTTTATAGTAATTTAAATAATAGTGTATTATTTATTTTCTACTTTTTAGTGCATCATTACATAAAAGCTTGTTATTAAAACGTTTTTTATGAATTTTTTTTAAAAAATGCAAAGGTTCAAGTAAATTAAGCTAATTTTTTTCAGTGGACTAGAATAGATGGAATTTTATTTGAATTTAGGCCTAATAATTTACGCAATTTCGTTTTTTTTTTAATTAGGACAAATTAATTGTATTGATTTTAATTGAAAATTTAAATTGTGAACTAAATTTCTTCTTTTTTTTGTGTGTGGGTTTAAAGGCGTTTTACTACAGGGTAGTGTCTGACTGACGCATAAATAGCAAGTTTTGTTTCGGTGCGAAAGTTATTGTTGAGAATTTTTGAAACACACCGTAGATACTTCCTTTTCCGCTAACACAACCAAAATGGTAGGTGTTTAGAAATTTACGTCTTTTTTTCCCTTTCAATATCGTTTACGATCTATGTTCTTATTTAACACAAATACAGCAGAAATTATAATTAAAATTTTGTCATATCTGTACATGTTTATAATTCACTTATATAGAGTTTTGTACGAAATTGGAATGGATAAACAAAAAAGTGATGGCCAATTGACCCAACATTTTCTTGCCAGTCCATCCTCCTTATCCTACTAAAAACTAAACTCTACCAAAATGTTGACCTGAAAATGCTGAAATTGCTCAACATAGAACTGGATTTAGGTCTCGATCTAGATCTAGATCTAGTAGACATCTTTTTTGTGTGCTGGGCTCAGATAAACTTAATCAGTTAGGCGTAGACTCTGTTATGTTCAGGGCAGTGTCTACAAAAATAAACCTGACTTGATGCATGTAGGGATTTTGGTAAAAAAGCACTAATCATCATATAAAAATAAAAAGTACATATTCTTGTAGAGCTCAACAAAATGAAAACAAAACAAAAAAGATTTTTTGTCTAGCTCAAATAGTTTTTTTTTTGCGAATTTTTTTGTGAGGGGTGGAATCCCCTTACTTTTGCATTGGCCAATTGTGACAAGTCATGGTATACCTGAATAAATTGAGCATAGTTATTTTAATTGCATTTGTATTTTGTTCATATTTGCAGAGTTTAGCTAGAATGATATATAGAACTTGTAAATGTTGTTGAAATGAATAAAAATAATACAGAACTTATATTTTTGTGTTGGCTTCCTCCCATAACCCCAAAAAACTGTGTGCTGCGCAAATATGAAAATGTTTCTAAAGCCATATTTTATATAAATACAGCAAATGAAAGAACTACAAAGTTTGAAATCTAAAGTAAATGACTTGAACACTGTTATGTGCATATAATTGCCTCATTATTTTGGGCAGGTGAAGTAGAGTCCATCTTTAAGCCATTATGTTATAAAACTGCTGCGCAAATATGAAAATGTTTCTAAAGCAATATTTTATATAAATACAGTGAATGAAAGAACTCCATAGTCAGAAATCTAAAGTAAATGACTTGAACACTGTAATGTGTCTATAACTGCCTTGTTATTTTGGGCAGGTGAAGTAGAGTCCATATAAAAGCCATTTTGTAATAAGTGAAATGAAGTTATCAGATCAATGTTTTTATGTGTGAATTGTGTATGGATTCTGATATTCAGCATATAACTATATCTAAGGGTAAGTAGAACTTGAATACTTAAAATTACAGTTAGCACAATGCTAGTGTATAGCAACAGACAGGTAACCTAGATCTAGGTCTGACTCTTGTCAGTCTAGAGTCTAGTCTGACAAAATTGGATTTTTAGGAAAAACATTCTGCAAAACTAGAACTAGAGCTGAAAAAATTAAAGATGGGTATGTAAATATATTTTGAAATAAAAAATTAGATTTGTTTGCACATGCCATAAGAATGCTGTTATTAGTTGATCAAACTTAAAGCAGGAAGATCGGGATGAAAAAATATAACAATGGTGGCAGCGTGACCTACATACAGTGACTACGTTCGGAGGGGTATAACTAATGTCGGAGTCAAAATATCCAAAAACAAATTTCATTTCCAATTACTTAAGATATGTCTGATCAGTAATCTACTCTCATCTAGAGGAATCCTTTAAAAAATCGAGATTCCAACGTATTTGAAACTAACCTTGATACAGAGGGAAGACCAAAGCAGAGACAGCATGCAATCAGGTCGCAAAGCCATTAAAACTAAGGGACAACCACTCTACTTTTTAATTAACCTTAGGAAATGACCTTTTAAACTTAATTAATTACCATAAATTAAAAACTTATTAGTATGCAAAACCAAATCTCGTGTGTCCGGTATCAGAAAGTAATGGGCGATTTTGGGTCATGTTTTTACCGCGAACTCTGCGGATGCCGACAACCCTAATGCATGTGTTGAAAATGGTAGACTAGTTGGCTTTTTTATGTAGAATTGCTGTAATTTTGATGAGATCAGCTTGTTAAGATCTGGTTCCTATTAGATTACTAGACACTAGGTTTGTAAAACAATTTTGTCAGTAACAGTAGAATAAAAGTAAATTGAGTAGACCCAAGTTTTGTTTTCGAAGTGACTACTCGGAAGATTTTTCTCCCCAACGTCTCCACTTAGTCGGCAAAAGATAGCTGTGCGCATGCGCAGTGACCTAAGGTTAGGGCTAGAATGGGGATAGGATTAGGGTTGGTGTTAGGGTTCTGCGGTTGTAAACACAGGCATGTGCAGTACCATCGAAAACATCGCTGCGAAGGCAAGTCGTTTCTCTCCATTGCGCATGCGTATCTTATTCCGGCTAGTATTGGTCTTTTTTTTTAAGAAATGTACAGATTCTAGCCAATATCCTGTTAGATTATTAGATCGGTGTATTTTTAAAAATAAGCCTCAAATTTTTAGAGATAGATCTATGTCTTGCAATATTTTACACTGCATACTTTATTTGCTAGTTCTTCTTATTGCCTTTGGGAATTGTAGCCTAATTTAAAACTTTTTGTTTTTAGGCTCGTGTGAGGACCAAAACAGTGAAAAAGGCTGCCAGAGTGATTATTGAAAAATATTACACCAGGCTCACTGCTGACTTTCACACCAACAAGAGAGTATGTGAAGAAATTGCCATTATACCAAGCAAAAAGCTCAGGAACAAGATTGCTGGGTACATGTTTGTTTTCAACTTGGTTTTTCTGATAGAACGAATAGTTTTTAGATTTGCTAGGTTTTATTCTGATTGCAATACAATGCAATTATCATTGGGTTTGCGGGTACAATTGACCCTATTCTGTTTAGTAGACATAGTTCATTAGGCCTGCAGTTAATGAGGTGATGAACCTAGGTTATATTAAATGTTAACATAAATAGTCTTGAATAAGAGTTAACTTTTAAATTTTAGTACATCATGATTTGTGGACATGCTGTGTAATTAGCAGCTTGTTCTCCCTTCAACTCGTACACGTTAATGCCAACCAAAGTTTTGGGCATCATTATGAATTGCCACCTGATTTCTTGATATGTAGCCTTTTAATTACATTTGAATATTTTTAAAGGTTTGTTACACATTTGATGAAGAGGATCCAGAAAGGCCCAGTTCGCAACATCTCTATTAAACTTCAAGAAGAAGAAAGAGAGAGAAGAGATAACTATGTCCCTGAGGTTTGTATAGAGCTTATGTTTTTTGTCTGCTTGGCTGCCAAAATTGGTTTGTCTGTAGACCATTAACAAGCAGGCTTGTTGTTTGTTTTTGTTTTGTTTTTTTTTTTTGCTAAGTGATTTATAAGAGCTGTTTGTATTAGAATATGGATACACCTTGTTTCAGTCTTGTCAGCTTTCTCTCTCCTGTTTTAAAAATTTTTGTTTACTATTAATTGTGGACATGAGCAACATTTCTTTCCACTGTTGGCCCTGGAGATCATCAATCATTACTATAAACCATACTAAGTTACAATCTGTGGTAAATGTTATGAGCAAAAGTTCATTGCTGTGGTTGTGCAAATTTTCTCTAGGTATTTGTTTCCTTGTGACTATTTGTTAAAATGCCCTGCTGTTGTGGAATTTATGAGCCTATCAGTTTTCAACTTTAAAAAAAAAAGAAGTAACAGCACTGCAAACTTTTATTGTGTTTGTAATAGTGTTACAATAAAATATACTACTGGTCTCATATCCGCTTGATGTCTCTTTGGTCCTTGTTGCGCATAACGGTGTAGTCCTACTTGGTACGTTAAAAGTACACCAAGTTCATGCTGTTTTCTACTTAAAACTGGTTTATTTATCATTTTTCTGGTATTTTAGCGATGACCTAAATTATACATTTATTGTTTGCTAGTTACTTGTTCAATTTTACAGTTGAGTAGCCTTTAACCATTAATGTCCCGTAACGCCCGCTGCCGCCCGACACCGTTAATGTCCCGTAACGCCCGCTGCCGCCCGCTTAAAATACGCATAGAAAAATTAAATTTGTTTCATTAAAATTTGGCCTACAAATCCTAATTTTTAACCAAACAGGAAGTCGGTTAGTTTCAGCATCCTTTTCCGGTCTTATAATTTCAATGGCGCTTTTGAAAGATAAAAAATAATAGCTTCTTTCGATCTCGAAATTTTAGACTCATCTGTCCTTTTTTTTAGTAGATTTAATATTAAAAATAAAATAAAATAATGCCTCTAAACGTATCTAGGCATGTATTTTATGAATTATTTATCTTAAACATAACCAAATTGATATTTAACTGTTAAATTCGATGCTTAGTTGTTTAGACAAAAATAAATAAAATTGACTACCGAAAATGACCTGTTTTGAATTTTCTCCGACATTTTTTATTTTTTTACTGTACTTTTACCGAATATAATATATTCTATTTAATACTGTTGGAAAGCCAGGTTTATTCCCAACATTAAGCAGTAGTTTTTATCTTAATTTTCAATTTCATTTAGACAAAAACAAATATTTTGTGAAACTATTCACTTGATCATACAGACAGAGTTATGCTCCTTACATTGGGCCGTCATGGGTGGAGTTTTGGTAGAATGAATGGGACATTAATGGTTAATGATATATTTAGCTTAAGTAAGAGATTGGCATGTCTGATATATTCATATTATGACCTTAATTAAATGTTTTGTCTCTATTGTATGTTTATTGCTTCTAGGTATCAGCCCTGGAACTTGACATAATTGAGATTGATCCAGATACAAAGGAGATGTTGAAGGCTCTTGTGAGTACAGTTTCTAAGTGTAATAGATTTTTAATTTTTTGCTCTGTTTTTTAGATTATGCCTTTTTCTAACCTACATTTTTTTTCTTTCAAGGACTTTGCCAACCTCCCTCATCTTCAAGTGACACAGCCAACTCCTACCTTTGCTGGTAGAGCACCACCTGCTGGTCTGAGAACTTAAATTATAGCTTTGTAATGAAGTAAATAAATGATCGAACTCTTTGAATTTGTTAACTGGTTCTTTTCCAAGTGGCAAAAACATCTTTAATTTTTTTGAGATGGTAACTTTCCTTCACTGGTCATGTAGATAGGTTGTTTGTATTACTGCATTACATCCTTTTGGTTTATTTTTATTTGTAAGGGGGTGTCTAATTTGACATAGTTTATACATATCCGTTTACTCTGGAAACTTGTAAATTGTGAAGGGGTGTTTTTCCATTTGCACACAATTTTGTTTGGACTGAATGTTGTGTTCATAAAAGTTTCTCCTCATGGGGCAACTGAAAGGATAGTGTTGTTGGCCCCATGCCCAGCTACCTTTACTTTTCTGGAACTATGCACCCATTATAGCCGGGTGGACCCAGGGATATATTGCTTATTTCAACCTCGATTCTAACTTGAGACAGGTTTGCTTACTATTGTGGTACCACTGGGCCATATTGAACAGCTTCAAAGTACAAGAAAACAATTTTATTGCGTTTGTCAAAATTATCTAGGTTCAAATTACGTTTTTCCATTCCTTCTCATTTTAATCTAAGAATGAGGGTGATGAAAATTGTTTTGCCTACAAATTGGTGATAATATACTACTGGACTTGATAACTAGGTCTATACAAAAACAGGTGTGGAGACTTAATCTTACAAAAGTTATGGTCAGAAGCAAATGAATTGTTATGAAAAATCTACACAGGATTTATTATTATTAGACACCTTTGGTAATGATTAATAATAGTTACAAAAGCAATGAAATAGAAAAGTTTATCATAGTATTTTTAAAAGTGCAGGATGTTAAGTTTTTGTCTTATTTTGTGCCGATGTAATCAAAGATTGGTATGTATTTAGCCAGCTTTCGTCGTCGAAAAGAATCTGGCACAAATGGCAGTCTGTAAATCTCTAGCCCATCCTCAAAGTTGGATGCTCTCTTGGCACTTTCATCAAGCTCCTTGAGTAAATGTAACAAGCCTCTCTCTTTAAGTGTTCCTGTGTAACACGAGGTAAATGTACATGTAGTGTTGCAATTAAAATCAAAACTTGTGGTGCTATGAGAGTACAAGTATACACATGACTTGATTGGGTCTACCGGAAACAATCGGTGGCCGTCATAAAAGGTGCTAGTACTGTTTAAGTCATAATTTAGAGTCGAGCTTTCATTTTTTATCAAAAAAGAAGTGTAGGTATTACTATTAATTACACCATTCATTCATGCTAGGGCTTTGGTGGAGACAAAATGCACAATCTGGAATTGAGTGGGACCCTTTTTAAAATTTCCCTGGCTTCTTGGCTATAGTCAGTCGAACCATGAGCATACATGATCCTGACTACTAACTTTATAGAATTAGTAGCAGTATCATACAGTAGGAATATTTAGCTATAAACAAATCAAGGGAAGTAATCCAATCTGACATAGTTATACTGAGTTACCTGGGGTTGTGTTGTCCATGATGAACGCAAAAGCTCCACCTACAAATGATGGATTAGTTAGCAGCATCTTGAGAGAGGAGTCGACAGTCACACTGCCTGCAAATGCAAATAAAATGTTAGTTGAGACAAGTTTCCAGCATTAAGATTTAAAACGTTGCTGAAGTTGCAGCTCAGTATTTTGATGAAGCTTTCCTTTGTTTTTTTTATTTTAGTCGTCAAGTTCATTTAGGGGTCATCCATAAATGACGTCACGCTTTTTTGACGATTTTACCCCTTTCCTCCGCCACACGTCGTCACAAAAAGCCAGACCACACCCCTAAAATGACGTCACACCTCAACCTACAACCCCCCCCCCCCTCAAAATTGCAGTTGAATTTTTTTAAGTCATCGATATTTTTCTAACACCTTGTCTAAACTTTATAATTTATTAAAACAGTTATCTAAAACGCGAAATAACGTCTAAAATTCGTTTTCTAACATTGCTTTTTTATAATGCCAAAGTGTGACGTCGCAACATCTTAACCCCCCTCATCACACATCGTCACAAAATTACGGACCCTTCCCCCCCTACGAGTGTGACGGCATTTATGGATGACCCCTTAGTAAAGATTTACGAGTAAGTTGAAAACTGAAGTATTCAATATATCTTTGGCTAAGGTGAATGCTACCATGTGAAGAAAATATCAAGTGCCCCCCTGGAGAAAAAAGTCTGGAAGAAACACTGTTCACTTGAGGTTTAAAATTAACTCACTCACCTTAACTTTAACACTTAACGTTGTTTGACATCTTAAGATAAGTACAATTTAAGTGTAAACACCTTGTTCCTAAAATGTCTCTCGTTTTTCCTGTCAACGCGATTTTATCTTAGTTACCTGTATTAAATGCGTGAGGATTTTTGGCAACCCAAATCGGCATCATGACTCCAAGTAAAAGCGAAACTCCCATAATGGCCAGATTTCTGGTTGAGTTCAAATCCACAGTCTGAAAAAAAAAGTTTTTATTGTCCTTGTTTAGAAACTTACTTTTATTCAGTGAATTTTTTTTTTTAAAGCAAGAATAGAAATAACTAGATATAAATCAAGATCAATTTTTTGTCGTCCGTTTTTCTGTTGATTTGTAAATATAAATGTTTTCGCTCTCGTATGGTTTGCAAACTTACCTGTAGATAAGAGAGAATAACGCCGATGAAAATACCCATGATGATGATATTACATCCACCCAGGACTGAGTAGGGGATGGTGACAAACACAGCTCCGAACTTGCCAAAAAGGGCGAACAAAATGTAAATAACGCCTGCTAGTTGGAACACGCTTCTGCTTGCGACCTGGTAAAATGTTGTTATTGTTAGTCTAGTGAGAAAATATGACGACACGGAGTTTATTTTGTTCTTTGACCTCGGCAGATGAGAGGAAGGTGTGGTCAGCACCATGTTCAACAAACTTTACTTTCCCTATTGTGAGTCAGTAACCCATCAGAGCTGGGTGGACTCAGGGACGTCATACGGATTCGAGCCGGAGATCCGATCTCGAGACTTTCAGGTTCGTAGACGTGTGCTCTACCATCCGACCATGTAATCCCAAATGATTACATCAGCCTCTTAATAAATAAAGAAAATATACAGAGCACATAAAAAATAGTGCAGGCACGTTGATTTCAATACACATTTTTTATTAGTAGTTTATTTTAAATTAGTTTTTATCTATACTCGAATAATTTTGAGGCCATTCAGAGCGATCCCACTCTGAGCCATGTATTGTAACAATCGTATAGCCCTGCCTCCCCTTCCCCATAGAACGCCCACTGCCCCCCCCTCTAAGGCACACCGAGAAACTATCCTGGTTAAACCCTAAGACACACAACCCGGGTTTTACCCTAAGGCACAGACACACTACCCTGGTTATACCCTAATACATACAGACACACTACCCTGGTTATACCCTAATACACACAGACACACTAACCTGGTTCTACCCTAAGACGCATAGACATACTACCCTGGTTATACCAATAGGCACACTACCCTGGTTATACCCTAAGTCATAGACACACTACCCCGGTTATACCCTAAGGCACATAGACACACTACCCCAGAGGCGTAGCGACCCTTCCCGGCGCCCGGGGACAAACTTTTCGATTTGCACCCCCCCCCCTCGAGATTTCGATTTGCACCCCCCTCAACCTTTCAATTTATTTTTCCAACCCATTTTGGCGCCCCCTAGGGTCGGCGCCCGGGGACATATGTCCCCACCCCGCCGCCCCCCCCCCCCTCGCTACGCTACTGCACTACCCTGGTTATAACCTAAGACACATGGACACACTACCCTGGTTATGCCTTAAGACACAGACACACTACCCTGGTTATTCCCTAAGACACACAGACACACTACCCTGGTTATACCCTAAGACACATGGACACATTACCCCAGAGGCGTAGCGACCCTTCCCGGCGCCCGGGGACAAACTTTTCGATTTGCACCCCCCCCCCTCGAGATTTTGATTTGCACCCCCCCCCCCAAACTTTCGATTTGCACCCCCCCTCAACCTTTCAATTTATTTTTCCTACCCATTTTGGCGCCCCCTAAGGTCGGCGCCCGGGGACATGTGTCCCCCCCCCCTCTCGCTACGCTACTGCATTACCCTTGTTATACCGTTTGACACATAGACACACTACCCTGGTTATGCCCTAAGACACAGACACACTACCCTGGTTCTACCCTAAGAAGACACACTACCCTGGTTATTCCCATAGCTCCAATATTCCCTCCATAAGAAGACGTGGCGTGACAACAGCCTAGCGTGCCGCCCAGAAAGCTGACGAACCCCTCAACGGCGATGCCACGGTTGAAGGCGAACGGGGGCGGGGCTGGGACCCTGGCCGTACGAGCGCAGGCGTTGTAGTCGCCGATAGAGTCCAGCACGGATAAGATGGTGGCCACGAAAAAACTGATGAAACCTCCCACGCTGAACGTCATCAAGCCGAACATACCTGTCAGGAGAGAGAATATTCATTAGTGCACAGAAATAGTTAGGTTAGGTAACTTTAGCTAGTCGCCCCTCATGACAAGAGCTTTCCATACTATCTGTCCTGGACTAGTCTCCAGGTGTATCAAGTCTTCTTGGCGTTTTCTTCCGTAGTCGATCTATTTTTCTTTACGCACTGTGGATTCCAGATGAGGCCCTGTCTTGTTAGGCTGGATACGAGAGTGCAGTGTTTCTTCCAAACTTATTTCTCCGGGGGGTGGGGGGGCACTTGAAATTTTCGGGGGGGGGGGGGGCGGACACTGTTAAAAGTATATATTTTCTATATCAATTATATAAATTTAATTTCGTTCGGGGGGGGGGGGGGGGGCTGAGTAGAATTTTTTCGGGGGGGGGGGGGGAGGGGGGGGGGGGCTCCGCCCCCCGGAAGAGATGCCTGGATGAAACTCTGCGAGAGTGTGGCCATTTTCTCTGGAAGATCTCTTCTTCAGCTGGGAGTTGGTTACAGAAATGTTGGACTGGTCAAAATTTGCCTCAAATAGCCTTGTTATTTGACTTTTAATACGAGGCCTTTTAAACTCGGGGACGAGTTTTGCGGTCCACACCGGGTGATACCATCTAGGGGTGACACCATTGAGATGGTGACACCAAGCCGAAATATGGATAAATTTTGTGTCAAAACAATGTTTTATCCAGTTAAAATAATGAAATATGGAAGAAAGTTGACATTTTGTTGGAAGGGGAGGTTGGGATAACATCATCAATTACAGAACCGGGTGAGGCCTACCATGGACGCCACTGCTTGTTACTATTTTCATATAGCTTAATTATAAGCTAATATTGCTAAAATAAAATTCGTAAATTTAAAAACATTGCATTCTTAACTCCTTTTGTTTCGTGTTTACAACAAAGTACTTTTTTGTTATATAACACTCTTCACTCTGCATTTGAAATTTAGAAAGAAAAGATCCTAATGTTCAATTGTATTTGTCTATGCATGAAAAATCATTTGAATGAAATCAAAATTGAAATAACGTTTTTCGTGTATGCATAAATGTGTATTTCGAAAAGGAAGGAAAAGCTATCAACAACATATCTAAAACAGTTACCAGGATATGGGAAGATGAACCAGCCAATGTCTTCAATGACATGCGCACGAGCGTCAGTTCTGGCCATGTATTGTTTACTTTTGGTGTCGCTAGACAACGCTCCAGCCTCTGTCATGATGCCGCTTACCATCCAACCAATCAGAATGCTCAATAGAATCTGCCGAAAATTGTAAATCAAACTGGAGTTAAATTACATGTTTTGTAATCAGACATGGCAAAGTGTAGCTTTGTGAAAGGCCCCATTACACTTCGTTTACACTTGCGACATGATGTATAATATACATATATTGGGAAAAAAACTCATACCAAGTAACATGAACTTTTTGTGCGATTTTTTTTCCCTTGACATGTATATCATACATGTCGTAAGTGTAAACTCGGTATAAGTCAAAGTCAGAGCGCTGTAGAAATTTAATTAGCCTACATGTTAATTTTATCAAATACAATGCCTTTTACTAAAACCAATTTTTTTTTTTTTTTTTTTTTTACAATTCAGTCTGTGACGTTTTTGACTTGGAAATTACATTGAACTCTTTAATCGATACAGAAGCTCAATTTATGTCGAATAAACTGATTTTCAAAATACAATACAAACATGAGCCTTAAAGTATGTTAAGTCTGAAGTGAGTACTTACAGAAAACACCTGATGTAAAGGATACCAGAAGATGTAAAAGCCCTTGCCTCTGGCCCACATTGGAATCGGAGTTTTCCGGTTGGACAAAAATAACGAGAACACTAAAGCACTAAAGTTCTGCAATAATCGAAATATGTGTATCAAGCTTATCATTGATATCTGCATGATACGCGTCGTTCATTATAAAATTATTTTTGTCGTTCTTTACTAAGGTAACTACAGAGGCGAGCGACCCTTCCCGGGGACAAACTTTCGATTTAACCCCCCCCCCCCCCCAAACTTTCGATTTGCACCTCCCAAACTTTCGATTTGCACCCCCCTCCCTAAAACTTTTGATTTGCACCCCCACCCCTCAAACTTTCGATTTGCACCCCCCCCCCAAACTTTTGATTACTTTTTCCAAACCCATTTGGCGCCCCCTAACGTCAGCGCCGGGGACATATGTCCCCCCCCCATCGCTACGCCTCTGGGTAACTATTATTTTCTTTAAGAAAACAAGGAGGCCAATGGAGACGTGGAGGCGCACAGTAGAAAAGCAACTGACAGGAGCAGGACTGCTTGGGGGGAACTGCCAAGAAAGTTGTCAGAAACCAACAAAAGTGGAAAGATCCTTCTGTGGCGGCCCCATGTGTCTTGGGCACTAAAGGGAAAAGATGATGATGATTGTCCTTATAGTAAACTATTTTTAAACACACGCTCTCCAAACAGAGGAACCACTCACATCAAAGCCACGGTCCAGTTGGTTTCAGAAAACTTGACAGCCACTGTTTTGATTTCTAGTCCCACGAGAATTACTGTAGGCACCACGGTTATTGGACCTACGTACCTTGGCAAGTAGAAAAAAAATTCAGCTTTCCTTTCGCACTTAAAATAGTTGTTTCACGTACTTAGAATAATTGTTTCACGTGCTTTTTCGAAATTATAAAAAAAATCAGAATCAGCACGAATGAAGCTGATTCTGTATATATCAGTGCATTTTTAGTAAATCAGAGACAACACATATTCCTACTTTGAAAAGAAAATGAGTTTTTTTTAAAAATATTAATGACAACTTGAGATCTTTAGACTAACCTAATGATCACACCTACAAATCCGGTGATCCCGATCAAAAAATGTATACCGCCAGCCAACATTAAACTCCCAGATAGCTGTGAAACCAAGTCACACAATGTCAAGATATTTTCAACAATAAATTAATTATATATGAAATTATGTGCAAGTTTTTACATTTCATAAATACAAACTAAATAAATGATGAAAAATAATTGCCCAATTGAGTGGAAAGGAATATAATACAAGTCAATAGTCAATGACAATTATAAGCTAGCATATGCAGTACCTCATGGTTTTAAATCATTATGCTAGCATTCAGAGTCGATAACCTAGCTCAAACCACGAAAATAGAGTTATTGGAGGCCTCACATTTTAAGTGGCCCTGCAGTTTGTTGAACATTTAAATTTGCACTAAACTTAACCTAGGAATAAATAAATGGTATAGACGTGTATCAAGACGGTCACATAATTCATTAACAAGCTGCCGCCGCAGAAAGACACGTTGTTATCTTGAACTAAAGGTTTATAATTGTAAATAATGTCTACATCTAAAGCTATGCGTTGTTGTACTATTTCTTAAAATGTTTTTTTCAACGGGCCTCTATGGGGACATGTTTAAATATTTGTGTAAAGCACTGATGTACACTTTATTTTTTATTTAGCTTAGTTTTCTACTCACTTTGAGGATCTTGTCAGTAATGACCTCCTGCATTAGCACCACTGTGCCATTTCCAATATCAGCTTTCATAACTGTTCTATTCGTTTCCATGTCAAATTCTATAATAAAAACCCTATCGAATTATTTGAGTGCATCTTATTTTGTGAATAAGTATTGGCTGGACAATTTGGGAAAATTGAGGCCCATAAAAATTAACATTTTTGTGTGTGCATATAAGTAATTCCTACGATATTTTACGTACAAAGTTTTGTTCTTAATATAGATTTTCTTTATTTGTTAGGACAGATCTCCGAAGAGACATAGATGTTTCACCTCACCCGAGGATGATATGTAGGCATAATTGTATCTTATTATTATTCAGCTTTCCACAGGCGAAACTCAACTTTTAATTGAGACTAAAATGCTTTAAAATAATTATATATATATATATATATATATATATATATATATATATATATATATATATATATATATATATATATATATATATATATATATATATATATATATATATATATATATATATATATATATATATATATATATATATATATATATATATATATATATATATATATATATATATATATATATATCCTCTTTAATATTTATAACGCAGAGTTTCTTATAGGCATCTCTTCGTGGGGGGGGGGGGGGGGCTTCAACCTCCCCCCCCCCCCCATAGAAAGTCTACCGCCCTCCGTACGAAATGGAATTTATATAGAAAATATATACGCTTACCAGAGTGTGTCCCCCCCCCCCCCCCCGGAAATATCATTATCAAGTGCCCCCCCCCCCCCCCCCCCCCCCGGAGAAAAAAGTCTGGAAGAAACTCTGAACGCAAAGCAGCTTCAATCGATCGGCTATTTCTGAAATCGATAGGCAATTTCTGAAATCGATAGGTTATTTCTGAAATCTATAAGCTATTTCTGAAATCGATTGGTTAATTCTGAAAACGAAAGGTTATGTTTTGACATAAACATTTAACCAAAAGGGACACTCACCTTCAAAAGGTTCTGGACATTTCCATTCTTCAAGCGTCATTAAACTAATTAATGGCACCATGTAGCTAGAGGCTGGACCTTGAAAAATTGGAAGTCTGAAATCATGCACAAAATGTATTTTTTTTTAATTTAAATTAAATATTGTTTTCGTTTTAATTAATTAACTGAATCTCCATTTTTTTCCGAATCACATGCTCGTTTCGATAATATTCTATGGTAGGGGTAAATTCATACAAAATTTTTTTTAGTATAGGCTTACTACCTTGAATTTATGTCAAATGCTTAACACTGGGAAGCAGTGTAGTCCGGAAATTGTTTCAAATATTGCCTGATCCCCCACCCTCTCTCCACCCACAATACAGAACTGGGATAATGTTATAGGAGGTATAGCTTATTTATGTCCTGCTCAGATTTAGAAGTATCGGGAGATTGTGTTTTATTATCTGTACATTTTTAGATTTTCCTTATTACTACTTGCTTATCTTTGAAAAAATAGACGCATGCATTTTTATACGTAGCGCTGTTGGCTTAATACGGGTTAAAGGCGTATTAGTAAGTAAGTGCCAGGTATTATTTTTGTAGGCTACACAGTTTAATTTACCTGACCCCGATGGTCGACATGAGGAAAGTAGCCAATCCGGTCATGAGTAGAGTAGCACTCAGAAGCTGAGCTTTAATTTCGTCATCCTTGCTGGCACAAACAACCTCAGACACTATGATGGCCTTACTCAGCGGGTTCACAATACTCAGCAGGCATTGCTGCCAGGACATGGGGAAAATAGCGTTAATCAAATATACGTACATCATCAGTACAGTATATGGTGAAAATAGCGTTAAACAGATATACGTACATAATCAGTACAGTACATGGTGAAAATAGCTTTAAACGGATACATAAATTGTAAATATAAGATGAAACCGACATCCTTTTTACGACCCACCCATAACAGTTTCTTTCAGGCATCTCTTCCATGGGCACGTCTACACCCCCCCCCCATCCCCTTGAAATAAATATAATTTATTTAGAAAATGTATATGCCCTACTTTTACCAGTGTCCGCGCCCCACGAGGAAAATTTAGTCTTTACACCCCTTCAAAAGTTTTAAGCACCCCCCCCTTTCCCCTCGGAGAACAACGTTTGTTGGAGAATCAGCTGAACAGGACAAGTTCTGCACGGTATGTGAAGATCTCCACCCGATTCCAATATCAACAGGATGACACTAAAACCAGTGGAGACAGGCGGACGATAGGTTTAAGGATACAGCACCAAGATGGATCCCAAGCGATCCAAAGAAAATTGAGTAGGACACGCAACTCTTGAGAGGCTCGGTTTAACGGCTTTGCAATAGGACTGGTAAGTAGGTCACCAACCAGTTCTACGGCTCAATAAAACCTGTATAAGCCATAGAACTGTTTATTGACCTACTTACCAGCCCTATAGTAAAGGGAAAAATATGAAGTTCAAATACTTTATGCTTATAATACTTTCGCCCCTTTAAAGCATCTATTCGCAAATATGTCATATCCGCCCCCCTCCCCCATATAATGTGGAAAAAACAGCTTACAAAATTTTGAATTTTTATCACATTTAATACAGTTTTGACTTTCAAATTATGCCTTCAGTTAATAATTAAAAAAAAAAACCCGCACATTACAATACAAATACCCACCTGCATCGCAAACAACAACATGAGGGAGATGGGCGGCGACTGCGTGATGCGGTAGATCAAAGCCCTATTCCCTTCCACCACAATTTCAACTTTTGGCGTGTCTTCTGTTTCTTCCTGACTGGTCTTCTCTGGGTAGTCTAGCTCGCATTGTAGAGTAATCCCAGAGTCCGTGGAGATGGGTGAGTCCAACACGCTTAATCCGTTTTCTTTTTTAATTATAAGTGGGTCCATTGCGTTTAAGGCTTCCTGGGGTATTTATTGTGATTTACCGAATTCTCTTGAAATTTCTTGAGCTTAAGTTGCAAAGACCAACATGTCATACAGTGTTTACAAACGAGATATGTAATAGATTGAAATAATTGTGAGGTCAAGGGAACTCACTCTTCTGTATTAGTATTATATTTATATTGTTATCTTGAGTGATGTCCCTTGCATGTTGTTATGTATATAAGTCTCTCGCCACTTCCCTCTCTCTCTCTTACCAACATGGCGTCTGTACATAATAAAGGCTGTTAACAACCAACGCGGTTTCTCGTCAGTCATTACAATCCACTTCATTTGGCGACGAAGGATAAACATCGACTAGAAAGAGCACCTACTTACGCAAAAAAGAGGTTTGCTAGAGCTTATTAGCTAATTATTTCTAGAATTATGGCGCTGTATGGCCAAATAAAAGAATTTGATGCGAATGATGAAATCATTCAAGATTACCTAGAGAGGTTAAGCTTTTACCTAGAAGCTAACGACGTGACGATAGAAGCCAAAAAGAGAGCTGTTTTGTTAACAGTCATAGGGCCTCAACAATTCAGGCTACTAAAGGACTTATGCGCACCAGCTAGTCCAGATTCCAAGAGCTTTAACGAGCTGAGCAAATTGCTAACAGACCACCATGCGCCTACCCCATCAAAGTTTTTATGTCGAGCTAGATTTGACAGTAGGACTCGTCAACCAAACGAGTCAATATCAGAATATGTTGCTGCTTTACGTCATTTAAGTAGATTCTGTGAATTTGGAGAAACGCTGTCTGACAGACTATGTGAAAAGTTTGTGACAGGTGTAAACAGCCCTGATATTCAAAGAAAGTTGCTGCTCGAGTCAGATCTAACATTGGAAAAAGCAATACAACTTGCAATGTCATTCCAGCAGTCATCAGATGCGGCGAGATCTTTAGCACCTTCAGAGATCCATGCAGTAAACAGCAGGTTAGTCAATAAACATCAACCCCATCGGAGCATTCCAACTTATGCTAAACAGCCTGCTCGTTCAAATCCTAGATCTAAATCTAGTAATAATTATCAAAAATGTCATCGATGCAAAGGTCCCCATGCATCTCATCGGTGCAAGTTCAAGTCTGCAACTTGTTATAAGTGCGGTAAGCAAGGTCACATTGCCAAGGCCTGCTTCGCAAAGTCTTCGTCTGTTGCTAAATCTAGCCAGTCAAGACAGTACCGCAACCAAAGGCAGCACTATGTTAACTCTCACCAAGACTACCTAACCCAACCAATGAACCACTCTACCTGTGAAAATGCTCAAACTGATTCGCAGCCGGATTTCAACCTATTCTCTGTGAAATCAATAAGTCATGCTCCCATCAATGTACAAGTTAATATCAACGGTAAGAGCATCAGCTTCCAACTTGACACTGGAGCATCTCTAACAGTCATAACAAAGACAGATTTTGACGCTGTCGCAGGAGAATCAGTGCCTCTACAGCCATGTCACAAGTGTCTAACAACATACACTGGTGACAATGTTCCGGTAATAGGAGAGTGTATGGTTCATGTAAGTTATAATGGTCAAAGTGTTAAACTTCCTCTTCTTGTGGTTGAAGGAAATGGACCGCCATTACTAGGTAGGAACTGGTTAAGTGATCTTAAGTTAAATTGGGAGAGTATTTGTTCATTGAAGAATGTAAAAGAATCTAGTCTTACTTCACTAGATAAAGTTATATCTGAAAATAAATGTGTTTTTGGTAACTCAGGTTTACTAAATGATAGAACAGTGAAGTTAAGCATTAAAGATACAAATCCAAGATACTGCAAAGCTAGAGTTCCACCTTATGCAATGAGGAATAAAATTGAAAATGAGCTAAGTAGATTGGAATCTAATGGCATTATAAAGAAGGTAGACTATTCCGATTGGGCGACACCCATTGTGCCAGTGTTAAAGAAGGATGGTTCTATAAGAATTTGTGGAGATTACAAAACTACACTGAATAAGCAAATAGAGCTAAATAGGTACCCTATACCTAACATTGAGGAAATCTCTTTGAATTTGGCAGGAGGAGACAAATTCACTGAATTAGACTTTAGTCATGCTTACACTCAACTAGAACTGCATCCAGATTCAAAAGTCTATACGACAATAAACACACATAAAGGACTCTACCAATATGAAAGACTATGTTTTGGCATATCATCCAGCCCTGGAATTTTCCAAGCTGTCATGGACAGTATTTTTAAGGATATTCCAAATGTTTGTGTGTACTTTGACAATGTGTACATAACTGGTAAGAATGACACTGAACATCTTAAAACACTTGATAAAGTATTAAAAATTGTTGGTGAAAAAGGTTTAAAGATAAACAAAGATAAATGTCAATTCATGTTGACAGAAATTAGTTTTCTTGGTTATATATTGAGCAAGCAAGGCATCAGACCTCAACCTGAGAAAACAAAAGCCATTAAAGAAGCACCCAAACCTGAAAATACCCAACAACTAAGAGCTTTTTTGGGCTTGATAAATTACTATGCAAAGTTCATAGGAAATCTGTCTGGTAAATTATCACCACTGTACAAGCTGCTACAGAAAAATGCAACTTGGCACTGGGGTAAACAACAAGCTGCTTTTAATACAGCAAAAGAGGCTTTGTCTGCTGACACCTTACTAACTCACTATGACCCAGGGAAAAGACTTGTATTGACATGTGATGCTTCACCAGTTGGTGTAGGAGCAGTCTTGTCCCACATGGATGAGAAGGGTGACAGACCCATTGCTTTTGCCAGTAGATCTTTGAACCAGGCTGAGAAAAATTATTCTCAGTTAGATAGGGAAGGCTTAGGCATCATTTTTGGTGTTAAGAAATTTCACAAGTTTCTGTTTGGTAGGAAGTACACCATCTTTACAGATCATAAACCATTGCTAGGTTTATTTGGAGAAAACAAAACCCTACCGGAGCATGCCTCACCAAGAACTCAAAGATGGGCTATCACACTAACTGCATACAATTATGAATTGAAATACAAACCTGGATCTGATAATAGTGCAGATAGTCTTAGTAGATTACCTTTAAAAAACCAAAGCCTGAGCTATGTACCAGAAGATGTATTTGTTCTCTTCATGGATAACTCCAATATAAATGTGAATGATATTAAGAGAGAAACACAAAAAGATGAGTGCTTAATAAAAGTATATGAGTACTGTAAGAATGGTTGGCCTGAAGATTCTGTGAATGATGACTTAAGGACATATAAAATAAGAAATAAAAACCTTTGTGAAGATAATATAAAAGATGGAGAAGATACAGTCCATTATCAGTCAGAGCTACCTAAACAAAGTATTTGTAACTTAATAAATGATTATGGTGATATGGCAATTTCAAATGTTTTAAAGAAAATACATTAGTAAGAAGGAATGTGATCATCAAACAACTTTGCTAACATCATTAGCACTTACAGAAACTAAAAGGGTAACATCAAAAGAAAAGAGCAAAGATTTTTGCCATTGAATACACCCACTTCAAATACTGGATCACAGTTGCAAAGTGATATTGTCCAGGATATTACTTTTAAACAGTATGTTTGGTTACGAAAAAGCACTATCAGATTACCTGAGAAAATTGATCAATCAAAGAAATCTATGTCAGTTAAGGATCTGAATAACAGCATAATACTTTCAGATGCCAATTCAAAAATGGTTCCATTAAATCATGACAAACATTCATTGAAAGAGAATTTGATGTTAATAAGAATGTGTATCTAAGAAATTATGGGAGAAAGGAAAAATGGATACCAGGTCAAATTGTTCAATGTAAAGGACCTGTGTCTTATAAAGTTAAAAATAACTTGTGCAGATAATAAGTGTGAATCTGCCAATCCCACCAAATCTGAACAGTTCACACCAACTCAGTTTGTTTCACAACCAAGTTCTGTTGATATGAGTGAACCAAGTTGTCTGGAGTCAGAAAATGTAAATTCTGGAGTTAATGATTTAAATCCTAGACCTCCTGAGATAGAGAATCCAGATGGTCAGAATATTGAGTCACCAAATCAAAAGCCACTGAGAAGGTCAAACAGGACAATCAAAGTCCCAAATAAGTTAGACCTATGATTTTAAAGGTCAAAAGGACTTTGACATTATTGTTTTGTATCTTGATTATGTTGTGGCATATTGTGCATTGTTTGTAAGGATGTAATCTACCATAGTGTTCATGTTACAATATAATTGGTGATTTTAGGATACTATCAATTGTTCTATTGAGAGATGTGTTATTGTGTTCTAAGGGTAAAGGGATGTAATAGATTGAAATAATTGTGAGGTCAAGGGAACTCACTCTTCTGTATTAGTATTATATTTATATTGTTATCTTGAGTGATGTCCCTTGCATGTTGTTATGTATATAAGTCTCTCGCCACTTCCCTCTCTCTCTCTTACCAACATGGCGTCTGTACATAATAAAGGCTGTTAACAACCAACGCGGTTTCTCGTCAGTCATTACAATCCACTTCAAGATATATTAAAATTGTGTTATTAAAATCAAAGCTTCGTAGCTAATAGGCTTATTTTTTTTAAATATAAAGAGAGCTGTTAAAAGAATAATAAGTGACGTCTCTTTAACATTTTATAAGCAGAGTTTCTTCCAGGCATCTCTTCTGGGAAAAACGTCTACCACCCCGTCCCCCCTCCCCTAAACGAAATGGAAGTTATATAAAATATATACTTTTTCCAGTGTCCGCCCCCCTCCCCAAATTTCAAGTACTCCCACCCCCCCCCCCATGGAGAAAGAAACACTATTTATAAGTGAGATAACCGAGTCCAAGCATCTGTTTTCAGTTAGGAGTTGTAGATCTACATCTACACTATTAGATGACTAGATAATGTTAATATTTGAATTCTTTTTAACTCTTATCTTCAACCTACCACCCTTGTGGGTACTGTATAAATATTTGATGTTGAAATTATTTTGAAGACATCTACACCCATCCAGATAGTAAAAGACGAATATTTCAATAATAAATATTAAGGGGGTCATCCATTTTTGTCGTCCATAAAGTCCACTTTCGACCCCCCCCCACCCACCAATGTGGACGTTTACCAATGTAGAGACCTCTCAAAACATGTTTACCTATTAAAAGGTGTACACATAAAATATATTCAGTATTTTGACCTAAAAATTAAGCGTTACTCCAGAGTTCAGAGAGAAAAATAAATAGTAGATGTATTTAAAAAACAACAACACGAGCACTGCCGTCTTAATTTTCACTTTTTTATATGCAGGATAAGAGTTTTATGTTTGTTTAAAAATGTAAGTTTATATACATTAATTTTAAACTCAAGATGTGGACGTCCAGATGCCTACCCCCCCCCCCCATTCGCACGCGTCTATAAAAGTGGATTTTCATGGACTCTATTACCCCCTCTGTGTCATAAAAAATGGGAGACCCCTAATATTCCTCAGATCCCAGGATTATACTGTAGTATACTGCCCTCTCCCCCCCCCTCCCCGAGATGTCTGAAAGAAATAGCTTATAATTAAATTATACTTCTACTACAGACTTACATAAAGATACAAATAATAATTGAGGGTAATAATACGATAAAGTGATCCGCTAGAGTAATTTAAATAATTTGTAAACCAAATTCTAATAAAGTCGTTGGTTACTTCAAATTGATTCTTTTTAGATCTATCTAATATTGTGTTCAAATGCTTTAATAGTCTTTAAATTAACATTTTAGAAAAAACTTTTAAAACGAATGACATTTTCTGAAAGTGGCCGAAATAGTCCACCAAAAAACGTATATTTTTAAATTTTATTTGGTCTTGAAAACAAAGTGTTGAATAAATTATCATTTTTACAATACTTTTCTCTACATTTTTAAAGTAAAGGTTTTATTTGAATTATTTAACACGTATCTAAGGTTTCCGGAAATGCCCATGAATACATTAAAGTTAGATTACATTGACAACAGTGGAACAAAATGGCTGTTCCATGGAGGGCATTTAACAACAAATAATACCGAGCCATGTTAAAGTTTAAAAACTTTTTAAATAAATGATGTTCCTCCACAAAAAATGATCAGAGATGCTTGATACTTAATTATATTTCTTTACTACGTGGAATCTTTGAGTACAGTAAACATTTCAATTAGGCCTACGAGCCTACGTAAAACTACACTTAATTTTTTAATTTTTCTCTCTGTTGACGAGTTGACGACATTAAATTAAAATTCATTAATCATTAAATCTTAAATACATTTTCCCCCTCGACATAAAATTAAAATCCAGAAGTACAAAACTAAAGTATAGTAGATCTAGTGTAAACTCATAAACGTCTTAAATAAAATTCAACAAGCAAGTGGTCAAGTGCATCTTTCCAAGCTCTGTGGGTACTAGATTCCTAGGTAGGCCTACTGACCACTGTTTAAAGTTTTATAATTATTAGTAATAGTTATTATAATAATTAGACTCAAGTATAATAAGTAAGTATAAGTCATACGTTATCACAGACACACCACGTCCACATGATGGTCAAGACTAGACTCTAGGATCTGGTGAGGTCAAAATGACTCAAAAGTGATTCTAAAATTTTGGTAGTTTATGCAATAATTAATTGTAATTGAAACCCTACTCTACTAAATCTCTAATAATCAAGAACATTGTCCAAATCATAAAAATAGGCCTGTATTATGTATACACTGTTTATAGCAGTTATTATTTGAGGGTAAGGGTGATTGGATAATGCTGTACTGTACATAATAATTAGTAGATCTACATATTATTTAATAAAATGTTAAATGATAATCAAATTGTACAAATGTCACCATGATGAACTTACATTTCTTAATATTAAAGGCCCATAGTTTCTCAACCTAACTTCTAAGCCTCATCATCTAACATGCTGAAAACTTAATCATAACCATAGGGAGGTATGCCACTATATGTTTTAATCTGTTTTCTTTACTTTTTTAATCAAGTAAAGAAAAGGAAGAGTTAGCCTATAGTGACTTATAGTTTAATTGTAATCTGCTTTGCTTGTTATTAAAATTTTCCTATGTTTAACTTTCTTGACAGTTAAATAATGGCATCTGGAACAAAAATGTCATATAACCATTTCCAAGGTGGTAAATATGGAGGCTTTTCACAACCATCCCAAAAGGATATGGAAATTACACAAGACATGCATCTTAAGATGTCAAAGAAGATTGCCCAGCTAACAAAGGTGTTAAACTAGATTAAAAAAAAAATGTTTATGCTTTAAATATAGATCTATAGGTTTAGTGCTAGTTAGATATTTTAAAGTTGATCATTTTAAACAACATTTAATAAAAAAGTTTCGCCATATAGGCGTAGCTTATTAAATTGTTTGATCCATTATTAAAAATAATTTAAATTTAATGAAAATTATATATAGTTTAAAATTAATTTTAATATTTTAAATTTTAATAATTACTAATACATAACAATATTTTCTTTTTGAAAAACAAAAATCTCCAACCCCCCCCCCCCCCCCCCCCACAAAAAAAAACAAAAAAAAAACAACTCCTCATGCAGAATCAGTTCTTTAATTAAAAACTTACTGTTTCAATTTCATTTACTTCTGTTCAGTAATATTATTTAATTTACTTAAAAAATTGTTTTCTTTAAGTAAAAGATAACCCTTTATCTTAATTAAGTGTGCTATGTAACAGAAAATAAATTAAAATACATAGTTGTTTAAATGATAGATAATCCACTAAACACGTTCTTTGTCTCGACTAAAACTAATCCCCCTCAAAAAAAAAAAAACAACAACTCATGCAGAATCAGTTCTTAAATAAAAATTTTCTGTTTCAATTTCATTTACTTCAGTTCAGTAATATTATTTAATTTACTTCCAAAAATTGCTATCCTTAAGTAAAATATAACCCTTTATCTTTATTAAGTGTGCAATGTAACAAAAAAATAAATTAAAATACATAGTTGTTTAAATGATAGATAATTCACTAAATACATTCTTTGTCTCAACTGAAACTAATCCTTCTTGCAGCTAATTAATAAAGACATTTAATGAAAAAAATAGATCAAAAGTTTTTTTTTTTACCTCAGTGTCTATGTAGCCTGCCAAGTTAAAATTACTTAACTGGATAACTAGAATATATTTCTGCTTTTTGAAGGAAAAGTGTTTAGAGAATGTTAACATTTTGAACATATTTTGCTGATTAATATACACTAAGTTGTTATTTAGTATTCTGTTTGCTCTTGCTGATGACAGAAATTGTACAATAGGAATAATTCATTTACATAAAAATGTCACAGATGTATAGAGTAAATAATTTGGTTAACAAGGTTATGTTAATTTTTTTCTGTGAATCAATATTTGTGCTAAAACTTGGACATGTATATTTTTTTAAGGTAATTTATGCACTGAACACAAAGAATGATGAAAACGATACAGTACTTCAAAGCTTGAAAGATCAACATGAGGAGGAAATTCAGCGCATACTGGCTGACACCCAAAAGAAAGTCTCAGTCTATAAGTGTCAGCTAGATGAGGAATCAGATCACAGAAAGACTATTGAAGCTCTTCAAACAAAAATGGATGAATACAAAGACCAGAAAACTTTGGTTGAGAACCAATTTGCAGCATATAAAACAAAGATCAGTGAGCTACATGAGAAGGAAAGGGAGAGCTATGCTAATAGATTGTTTGATATGTCCCATGAAATGCTTAAAGCTAAGAAAGATTTTGAAGACCACATACAAAGGTTTATTTCCTGGAAGGAAAGGATAATTGCAGAGCATGCAACAGCTATTGCGGAACAAGAAAGCAAGCACCGGACTGAAATGGAAGACTTGAAAAGTCTCCAACGAGACCAGGATGATACCTGGCAAAACCAATGTGCTAAAATAGAGGAGAGGTTCAAGAGCCAGATTGAGGCTCTAAGAAATCAAGTTGAGGCTTTACAGAATGAGAAGGTGTCAATGGAGACGGAATATGTCGCCAAGTTAGAAAAATCTCAAGCGTTTTATGAAAAAGAGCTGGAGGCAGTACGACACAGCCAAAGTCAAGGTCACAACATGGAGGTAGAAAAGCTGCGGAAAGAAATAGACAGGATGAAATTAGATTTTGGCGCTAATGAAAGGGAGCTGCGATCACAGATAGACAGGCTGGTGAGGCAGCTGGCTGATACTGAAGACGAGCTGGAGCAGGTGAAGCAGGAGAAGGAGATGCTGCAGGCAGAGCTAGCGGGGAAAAAGTCTAGTTCTAGTGAACTATCTAAACATGTGAGTCTGTGTGTTGTTTAGTTTAGGTGAACTAGCTAAACATGTTAGTCTTTAGTTTAGTTCTAGTAAACTAACTAAACATGTGAGTTTGTGTGTTGTTTAGTTCTAGTGAACTAACTAAACATGTGAGTCTGTGTGTGTTGTTTAGTTCTAGTGAACTAACTAAACATGTGAGTCTGTGTGTTGTTTAGTTCTAGTGAACTAACTAAACATGTGAGTCTGTGTGTTGTTTAGTTCAAGTGAACTAACTAAACATGTGAGTCTGTTGTTTAGTTTAAGTGAACTAACTAAACATGTGAGTCTGTTGTTTAGTTCCAGTGAACTATCTAAACATGTGAGTCTGTGTGTTGTTTAGTTCAAGTGAACTATCTAAACATGTGAGTCTGTTTGTTGTTTAGTTCAATTGAACTAACTAAACATGTGAGTCTGTTGTTTAGTTTAAGTGAACTAGCTAAATATGTGTGTGTGTGTGTATTGTGAATGTTTGTGTTGTTTAGTTCAAGTGAACTAGCTAAACATGTGAGTCTGTTTATATAGTTCTAATGAACTAGCTAAACATGTGAGTCTGTGTGTTGTTTAGTTCAAGTGAACTAGCTAAACATGTGAGTCTGTGTGTTGTGTGTGTGTTGTTTAGTTCAAGTGAACTAGCTAAACATGTGAGTCTGTGTGTTGTTTAGTTCAAGTGAACTAGCTAAACATGTGAGTGTGTGATCTAGCTTGACTGTACCTAACCACAGGGTTAGATTTAGGATTTGGCTAGTTTTCATAATTACAATACTCAAATGAGAAAAATAGGTAAAGTGATATTTTTAGACCTAATGGTCCATAGAGGCAGATGAAGCAGTGTTTTTCAGTGCTGGTTAGACTCAGGGAAGTAATCAAACCTGGCAACTAATCTTACAGTGCTATAAAAAAAACTACAATTACATAATGTCAATTTAAAAGCAACAGTCCCATGCTTTGTATTTTTTTTACAATGAATATTGACACTTTTATGCTTACAATAAATAATGAGAAATTTTTCAAATAATTTGGGTGTGAAGCTCCAAGATTTAAAGGAGGAGCTGGCCAAGAAAACCACTTCCCTCCAGAACACAGAGACAGAGCTGGCAGGATCCAAACAACATTGCTCCAATCTGGCAGATGAACTCATGAAAAAGTCCAGTAAGTTTTACACTAGGATATACCACATACATGTACTGTGTTAGATTTTTATAGCCAAAGCTTTACAGCTGAGCTATTTTGGCTCAAAATGTAAATAAATTTAGTGTTAAATAGCGCTGCTTACAATTGTAATGTATTTAACCAGTAAACCTAGTTACTCACTTTTGTTACAATTGTCATAATCAAGGGTGAAGGATCAAAGTAAAACTAAATGTTCTGAATCACGGTTTTATATATGGCCTGACTCAGAGTTTTATAGTTTTATTTGTGGTCAGAATTATGGTTTTATTTATGGTCTGAATCATGGTTTTATTTATGGTCTGAATCATGGTTTTATTTATGGTCTGAATCATGGTTTTATTTATGGTCTGAATTATGGTTTTGTTTAAGGTCTGAATCATGGTTTTATTTATGGTCTGAATTATGGTTTTACTTATGGTCTGAATTATGGTTTTATTTATGGTCTGAATCATGGTTTTATTTATGGTTTGAATTATGGTTTTGTTTAAGGTCTGAATCATGGTTTTATTTATGGTCTGAATCATGGTTTTATTTATGGTCTGAATTATGGTTTTATTTATGGTCTGAATCATGGTTTTATTTATGGTCTGAATCATGGTTTTATTTATGGTCTGAATCATGGTTTTATTTATGGTCTGAATTATGGTTTTACTTATGGTCTGAATTATGATTTTGCTTATGGTCTAAATCATGATTTTCTATTTGTTTTGAATCATGGTTTTCTATGTGGGTTGAATCATGGTTTTCTATGTGGGTTGAATCATGGTTTTATATATGGTTTGAATCATTGTTTTCTATATGGTTTAAATCATGGATTTCTATATGGTTTAAATCATGGTTTTCTATATGGTTTGAATCATTGTTTTCTATGTGGGTTGAATCATGGTTTTATATATGGTTTGAATCATTGTTTTCTATTTGGGTTGAATCATGGTTTTCTATGTGGTTTAAACCATGGTTTTCTATGTGGTTTAAATCATGGTTTTCTTCATGTGTCTCAGATAAGATGGGAGAGCTTGAGGCACACAATGTACAGAATGAAGGAGTGATTTCTTCATTACGCTCAGAGCTGGACAAAATGAAGGACAGGGTGACCAGACTGGATGCTGAGAGGTCATCTCTTCAGTCGCATGCTCAGTCACTTTCTCTGGAACAGAGCAGCCAGTTACAGAACCTGAGACAGGTCAGTCAGACTTTACAGGTCATTCAAACTTTACTGAGACAGGTCAGTTAGACTTTATTGAGACAGGTCAGTTAGACTTTACAGGTCATTCAAACTTTACTGAGACAGGTCAGTCAGACTTTATCGAGACAGGTCAGTCAGACTTTATTGTGACCAGTCAGTCAAATTTTACTGAGACAGGTCAGTTAGACGTTATTGAGACAGGTCAGTTAGACTTTACTGAGACAGATCAGTTAGACGTTATTGAGACAGGTCAGTCAGACTTTACTGAGACAGGTCAGTCAGACTTTACTGAGACAGGTCAGTTAGACTTTACTGAGACAGGTCAGTCAGACTTTATTGAGACAGGTCAGTCAGACTTTACTGAGACAGGTCAGTCAGACTTTACTGAGACAGGTCAGTCAGACTTTACTGAGACAGGTCAGTCAGACTTTACTGAGACAGGTCAGTCAGACTTTACTGAGACAGGTCAGTCAAACTTTACTGAGACAGGTCAGTTAGACTTTACTGAGACAGGTCAGTTAGACTTTACTAAGATAGGTCAGTCAGACTTTATTGAGACAGGTCAGTCAAACTTTACTGAGACAGGTCAGTCAGACTTTACTGAGATAGGTCAGTTAGACTTTACTGAGATAGGTTAGTCAGACTTTACTGTGACCGGCCAAGTTATTAATAGAGGACATTCAACCTTTACCTGCTAGGTCACCCAAACATTACAAACAATTTTATTCAAACGTCATACACTCTGTGAACTTGAAAAATGTATACAGAATGAAACATTATATATTAGTGTGTTCAGCTATTTTTGTGCCCTTAATTTGCAATAAAACAGGCATTTGAATACATTTTACAATCAATTCAGAATCCTAAACCAATACATTTAAAACAAATGCCACTAGGTTTATACAATGGGTTTATGGTTTACATTTTTCACATAAAAGTTTTTATTTTAAATATGAAAATTATTCTATACAAATTATGTTGTGTATATGAAGTGTGTTGACATTTACATGTTTATGGAGATTTTAGTTTAATGGCCTCAATGACACAAGGTGACCACAAAAATATACATACAGTCTTCACATAATACATGAAAATGTCAGTAGAGTTTTATGACACACTTTGATGGGCCGTGGTTTATGTTTTGTTTCAGTAACTAAATCTGGTATTGTTAAAATGGGTGTATTTTTTCCCTTTATAGTAATGTTTTAATTATTAGGAAAAATAATGTATTCATGAAAAGATAAAAAATTTTAATCATAGAAACAAAATTCTGAATAAATTGATCTTTGTGTTGCTGAGTGTTGCTGAATGGGTGAAAGTTAGGTGTTTGTAAGGGGGAGGAGACTTTTAAAGACCCTTTGAGTTTTGTACATAATGTAAATGCAAAGCTTGGTAGAGTTCAGCCAGCGCTACTCTTACCAAGTATGATGATGTTAATTTTTAGCCAGACATAGTGATGGTCATTTTTAGCCAGACATAATAATGGTCATTTTTAGCCAGAAATAATGATGGTCATTTTTAGCCAGACACATTGATGGTAATTTTTAGCCAGGACTACTTTAGCCAGACATATGGTAATTTTTTAGCCACATAAAAAAAGTGTCTGTTAATCTTTATTTTTGTGCCAGGTACTGACTTTAGCTGAGTGAGCTCAGAGACTTATTTTCTATAGTAAAGTGTATAAGTACATGATACTATATAAATTGACCAATATTTTTGGTTTTGACTATTGAGTAGGTCTACCTCACACATGTAAAGAAGTTAAATGTTTTCAGGCTCTTGAGGATATGACTGTGGAGAAAGAGACATTGAAACAGTGGTCAGAGAAACAAATACAAAGTCTGAATGATGAGCTGGAGAAGAGAGAGAAAAAGCTGAAAGAGGAATTCCACCTGCGGTTGACAGAGATGGAGGTTCAGCAGAGGGAGGCCATAGAGAGGGAGAGGAAAGAGGCGGGGGATGTTCTGGCATCAACAAAAGCTGTGAGTCTATGGGTTTCTTTCTTTCAGATTTGATTTTAGCAGTAATTTTTAGCATTACTACAGTAGTTTTTAATCTGTCTATGGGTTTTGTTCATTCAGATTAGATTTTATCAGTAATTTTTATCATTACTATAAAAGTTTTTAAACAATATTTTAACAGGAATTCTTAAATATGTTTAAAAATTAATTTGACTCATTTATATTTATTATTTATAACAGCAGTTAAAAAAAAACAACATTCTTGTGTTAGGGTATCATCCCTAAATGATATCACGCTTATTTTGAATGATTTTTACCCCACTCCCCAAAGTAAAAAAACAACCCCACCCTTAAAATGATGTCCTATTTCAACCTACAACACTCCTCTAAATTGCAAAATTTGTTTTTAAAATATTGATTTCTCTCTCAAATATATTCTGAGTTGGGTCAGCATTGAGTATATTAATTAATTTCTGTTACAATTTATAAAAAGAAGTTATTAAAAGTCAGACAAAGTTCAATTTTCAACTATTCATTTAAAATGCAAAGGTATGTTTTCATACTTTCTAAACCCTTCTTCTACCTCCCTTACCCCATTAATGGGGTGGCATGGCCTAGATGTAGACTGCCAGACTGCTAACCCAAAATTCTTGAGTTTGAATCCCAGTTCAAGGCCGTAGAATGTCCCTGAATCCTCCAAGTGCTGATGAGTACTTAATTGATGTTAGAGAAAGTAAAGGCGGCTGGGTATAGCACTGACCACCCAACCATTCATGTGTCGATGTCACTGAAACAGTTGAACTCTACTTCACTTGCCCCATGGACCGTTAGTTTTAAAAAGGGAACTTCATGTTTACTTACCCCTAGGAATGACATAATTTACGGACTAGGTCTTAAGTTTCTAAAAAACCTGCTTCCTTAAATTTACTACATTCAGTTTAAAGTAAAATTCTAAACAAAAAGTAACTTATAAAATTATTAATCAAAGGATTAAATTTACCTTTAAAAAATGTATTAATTTGATTAATAGAATCCTCCTAGCACAAATAAAATGATCAAAGTTATTTTGTGTTTGGTGTATGATCTCATGTGATGTTGCCAGAGTTTGACTGAGCAGCATGAAGAGATCATGAGACAAATGGTGGCAGAAAAGGTCAACCTACAGCAACAGCTGGAGCACCTGAGGACAGAGCTGAGCTCTAAGCTTGTATATGCTGAGCAGGAGGTGAGCAACTGACACAGGGTTAATTGTTGGGTCAGGGTAGTACTTGTAGTCATTGTTTGTATCATGGGGGGGGGGGGTGGACTGATGGTCAATGTTTGTATCATGGTGATACAGATAGTCTATGTTTGTATCATGGTGATTCAGGTAGTCAATGTTTGTGTCATGGGGGTACTAATAGTCTATGTTTGTATCATTGTGATTCAGATATGTTTGTATCCTTGTGATAGAGATAGTCAAGTTTGTATCATGGTGACACAGATAGTCTATTTTTTAATCAGGCTATTACTGATAGTCTATATTTTTACCATGGGGATACAGATAGTCAATGTTTGTATCATGTTGATACAGATAGTCAATGTTTATATCATGGTAATACAGTCCAAGTTTGTATCACTGTGATATTGATAACAATGTTTGTATCATGGTGATATTTAAGGTTATAATTCTATCTTTGTAATACTGATGTCTTTTTATTCCACGTTTTAATCTTTTTTTATTTGCTAATATTCAGAAAAAAATATATAATATACATTTTAGGAAAGAGTCAAGGCTTAGATACTTTGCTTTTAAATCTAATTAAAAAAAATGAACACATAGATTTGGATAAAGATTTAAATTATGGTAATACTAATTTGTTTCATTTTAATATTAAGTCAATGTTTGTGCTTTTATGATAAGGTTAAACATTAAACAAAAGTATTTTGAAAATAATCATAACAAAAAAATAAAATGCGAATAAGCATATTACATCTAGGACTACTTAGAAAAAAAAGGTATTTAAAGGGAAGCTATCCTTTATCTTTTAGTTCGATGTGTATTTAATGCAGCTACTTCCCTTAGGTCTAAAAATAAAACAAATTGATAATGTAAAACAAATTTCAGATTGCCAGGCTTGAGAAAATTGTCAAAGACAGCGAGGAAGGTCTCGGGTCAGCTTCAGGTCAGCTGGCCAACCTAAGGGACGCTGCCACACAACTCAAAGCTGAGCTAGACAAGACTAGGTCTGACCTCAAGGAGTCTACAACTAAAACAGGCAAACTCCAGGTTAGTTGTGCTTGGTTCTCTACAGTACCCTATGGTTCCCTACCCCCATCAATATGACCCACCCCATCAATATGACCCACCCCATCAATAAGACCCACCCTGTAAATATGACCCACCCCATCAATATGACCCACCCCATCAATATGACCCACCCCATCAATATGACCCATCCCATCAATATGACCCACCCCATCAATATGACCCACCCCATCAATATGACCCACCCCATCAATTAGACACACCCCATCAATATGACCCACCCAATCAATATGACTCACCCCATCAATATGACCCACCCCATCAATATGACCCACCCCATCAATTAGACACACCCCATCAATATGACCCACCCAATCAATATGACTCACCCCATCAATATGACCCACCCCATCAATATGACCCACCCCATCAATTAGACACACCCCATCAATATGACCCACCCAATCAATATGACTCACCCCATCAATATGACCCACCCCATCAATATGACCCACCCAATCAATATGACTCACCCCATCAATATGACCCACCCCATCAATATGACCCACCCCATCAATATGACCCACCCCATCAATATGACCCACCCAATCAATATGACTCACCCCATCAATATGACCCACCCCATCAATATGACCCACCCCATCAATATGACTCACCCCATCAATATGACCAACCCTGTCAATATGACCCACCCCATCAATTAGACACACCCCATCAATATGACCCAATGGTTGCTAAAATAATATATGATGCACCAACCATTCATGGTGATCTACATTGCTAGGTGGCTCTTTATTCCATTACTGAGTGATTTCTGGGGAGGGGGGGGGGGGAATTATACTATACTGTCTACTTAGACCTAAATGAAGAAGAAAATTCGAGTCATATCAGACCTGTTTTTTATTGGATTGTTGGGAAAAAGGGATTGTATTAAAATATCTTTTACATTTCATATGTAGCATTTTCCGTTCCTGCCACTGCAAACCTAAATATAGCAGTGTTTCTTTCAGGCATATCTTCAGTGGGGAGTGGGGGGGGGGGGAAGGCATCCTCCCCACCTGAACTCCCTCCAGATGCATGTCTACCGCCCCCACCCCCTCCAGATTCACGTCTACCTCCCCCTCCCCGAACGAAATAGAATATATATTTAGAAAATATATACTTGCACTACTGTCCGCCCCCTCCCCCCCCACCCCCTTCCGAGTAAAAAAAGTCCTAAAGAAACACTGAAGCGTGGTGACTTCTAATCATTGGGCCTATTCATGATTGGGTTTTGCATCTATTGGAAGAAAGGCTCAGCGACGGCATCAAAACCCCATTTACAACACTACAACAAATCCGCATTTACGACCCTGCAACAAATCCACATTCACGCCACTATAACAAATCCACATTTACGCCACTACAACAATCCTCATTTACACCACTACAACAATGCACATTTACACCACTAACAAAACCCTTTCGCCACTTGACGCATTCTTGTGTGGCTTCATTGATAAACTGCAGCTGCCTTTGATTTAGTTATCTCCCTTTTATTGTCGGGCGCAGGACCTGCCTTGATGTGGCGATATTTTAAACTGCTGCAAACTGTCAAGCAGCGACTGCAAAGATTTAGGGTTATCTTCTGCTGCTGCCAACGCTGTCCGGGTCGACACGGTTGTAGTTGTGACTGGTGTCTAGCACGTGATTAATGGCTCGCGCTCCCCAGGATCGTGCACCTGCTTGAAGGTATCTCCAGTATCTGGTGCGCTCTGGTCTGACATCATTTTATGACGTCAGTATACAGGAGGGGAGGTGGAGACGGAGAGGATGCACGTGTGGTTGTCGTCTGCTACACACAATTCATGCAGTCTGGAGATTTCTCTGGAAAATGTCAGTGTTTAGTGATTTAAGAAATGGTCTTTGTTGAGCAGTTGTGACAACTGTTATGATTCATTCAACCTTTATGTTGTAACTTTTGTTATGATTCACTCAACCTTTCTGGTATAACTTTTGTTGTAATACACTCAACCTTTGTTTTCTAACTTATTTTAAATTCACTAAATTTTTTTATTCTTGATGGACAACTGGCTTTTATTCACTGGCCATATTCCATTGATAAACTGGCTTTTTTAATAAACCAGTTTTCTTTAATGAGTCGGGGTTTCTCTGATAAGATGGCTCTCATTAAAGAAGTTAAAATACGCACCTGAAATAAATCATTTTTTCAGCCTTATGCATATTTCTATAACTACAGCGTTTTCTTAGTCCGAAAGTATTGCTCAAACAACTCCTGACCACATATAGGAACCGACTCAAGACCTACACATCCACCCACACAATCACCCACATACACACCCATACAATCGCCCACATACACACCCATACAATCGCCCACATACACACCCATACTATCGCCCACATACACCCCCATACTATCGCCCACATACACACCTATGCAACACTCATACAAACACCCACACCGACATCACAACAATCATGCACACATACACCCACAGAACAGAACATAAAAAAACTATTTCAGTAGCATCATTACATTTTATTGAATTATTACAGTACATAAAAATATCAAATAAAAAACGACCAAAGCTTCCAATCAGAATAACTAGTGATACATTCTTGTATTGTTGATGTTCATATTTTCTAATTCATTGTGTGTGTAATATTGTACGGTGCATATGGCTTATGATTTATGGCAATAGTGAACAAATAACAAAGTTTCCACTGCAGACTTGCATAGCACATCATTATTTGCATAGTTTATGTTACTTACACAACTTCAATTAAGCTTATATTGAACAACTAATTCGATGCTGTCCTTTTCGGACATCGAGTGTGTAGCCATAGCGATACCACTCATCCACAGCCATAAGTTAAAACTCTGGTAGCCATAATAGCTAAATCCCTGTAGCCAAAATAGCTATACTTCTGTACCCAAAGCCACATAGCTGCAGCGTTGTTCTATATACCAGGAAATGCCCGCCGTACATTACAAACTCGCCCTCGTAATGTATTTCTATTTCTGATTACCCTCATGTAACTTGGCAAAGTACCCGGATTAAGAGCAATGTTTACCAATTAATTGTAAAAACAGAAGTCTATATCATTACTTAAACCAGGTGACTTGATTTATAGGTGGGTTCTTTTAAGTTGCGTTTGTTTGAGAAAACATGAACCAAATGTATGGAGGAAGCGAGCAGTAAACTTCAATTTGTTTAGCCAATCAGACAGGGGAGTGTTTCCTGTCTTCTATTGCTGGGATTTGTGGGTAAATTTTGGTTCTATTTTAGAGAGCCGACCAAAAAGCCGGCGTTTGGTGATTTGTTGAAGTTCGCAGGTTAAACCTGGAAGCCGAGTTTTTTTTACTGGGAACCCCGCAGGTCTATTCAGGGTAACCCGAAGGTTTATTCAGGGTAACAGGCAGGTTAAACCTGGGAACCCAAATTTTTTTTTACTGGGAGGCCGCAGAGATTTGCTTATAACCCTCAAGTTTTAGCTTGGAACCTCGCAGGTCTCTTCAGGGTTTAAACCTGAGAGTATTTCTGCTTTTTATATCAATAAAAATTTTAGCACAACGATAGATAACAAAATATGCCATTTAAAATTCATTAGCTGAGTATATTATTTTAATTATTATTCAACTTGTCCATGGACATCAGACTAAACGTCTTTTCTTAACTTTCTCCCAAGTTTTATTATTCTTGTTTCCTATATTATTAACAAAATTTTATTTAAAAAAAAATCTGTCTGTACTCAATTTTATACGGTAATTAAATATTTTACAAAATCATTACATGAAATTTTAATAGCAAAAGACATTTTAAAAGACTATGTTATATTATGTACATATATTATTAATGAGAAACTCTAGAAGGCACACTTCAGTTGTGACACACAAACAATGCTCGTAGCTTTACTTGGTTTTCATTCTCTCTCTTTTATCTGGCAAATAGAGGGGGAAAAGGCGGGAAATGAAATGAGCTCACGTGATCCTAACCTGCGGCGGGAGAGGGCAAATGTTATGCAATGGGATGCTTATCAGATAAGGGTTTCGCTATAAATAGCAAAAGTGGTTTTCATTTCTTGACTGCAGAGGTGACGCCCATTCTTTCCCGAGGCAATGGAGAACTCTTGGTCCCAGGGGGGATAACTCTTGTTCCCACTTACAAACTCGAGTTCACGGCACTTCCTGTTAGCTTTAGACACTTGTCTGGGTCTATGTACATCAAATGTCAAATTGTTTAACGAACGAGAAATATACGACTTGCATGCTTTCATCACAGACTTTTTTTTTTATAACTGTCACTTGGTTTTTACAATACTCTCATTATGTCATATGCCATATTCTGCAATGTCACATAACATAACATGAACTGTTATATGCCATTGTTTAGTCTCGTATGACATGAAGTATCATGTATCATACTCTATAGAGCCATATGCCATAGTTTAAAGAATCATATGTCATACCTGCAAGCGGAACATGACATTTCCTCTAGTATTGTATGACATACAGTGCAATCTCTCATGCCCCAGGCCCACGTGAATTATTTTTACCGCTTTTTTGTAGACCAAAAAACTTGCATTTGCTTTCTGGGTTAAACTGGCTGAGTTGAGTCGACTGTCTCAATGTTGAGTCGACTGTTTCAATGCTCTCAGTGTACTCTAACTCGTAGCCCAGGGTAGCAAATCTTTGTCTCTGTCAAACCCGAGGCAAGGTTTAAAAAAATGAAGTATAAACGATTGACGGTCTGTGCTACATCTCGTCGTTCTGCTTGTTCATTGTGTAGCCGTCATCTCGCGTGAAGACACTGTGTGACGCCCCGTTTGACGTCACGGACTTGGACGACGAGCTGTAGATTTTTCCGTTGGTCGCTCTCAGGTTGGTGCCAACGGTACCGGTGCTGTTCTCGCTTAACGGCATGGCCGTTGTCCAGGTGTCTCGCCTGGTCAGACCTCTCTGGAAGACGTGCAGGAAAGTTTTCCGGAACTTGCGGCTGATGGCGCAGTAGAGGAGGAAGTTGACACTGGAGTTGACCATGACGAGGAAGGTGTTGATGGATTTGAGGGCCAGGTACGCGGGCCGGCTGAAGACGTATTTCCGGCCTTTTGAAGCGATGGTCAGCGCTAGGAAAACTCCGATAGCGTGGCAGAGGATGAAGACAAGGACAGTCGCCACGACGATAGCGCTGACGTGAAGCATGTCTACCGAGGTCATGTTTGTTGAGGCGGAGGCCTTATGCCGGAGCATTCTTCGCCGGTGGGTGGCCAGGAAGTAGATGAGGAAACCGTTGGCAACGCCGAGCAGAAAGACAGGTATGATGGCTGCCAGAGCGATGTTTGCGATGTGCACGAAGGTGTCGTAGGAGGGCGTGTGCACCAGGTGGGTGGGGATCAAAGGGGTTTTGCTGCTCAGGTCGTGGTTGGGGACGTACTCGAAGAACTTGGAGAAGTGGAAGGTGAAGGAGGCGATGAAGATGCCGATGATGACGAGCCTGGCTCTCTGTATGGTGCAGACCAGGCGGGGGTGGAACATGAAGCGGAGGGAGATGAACCTCTCGGTGGTCACTGCCACGGTCAGCCAGCCCGTGCAGGTGATGAACACGTTGTTCATGACGTACCTGTGGAGCAGCAGCTTCATATTAGTGGTGGTTAGTGCTAGTTAGTGCTAGTTAGTGCTAGTTAGTGCTAGTTAGTGGTGGTATGTGGTGATACGTGGTATTTATATTGTAACTGTGACTGTAAGGAGTGGTATTTGGATGGTGGAAGCTAATGCTGATTGCAGAGAATAGTTTAATGTGAATTAAAGAAGGTACGGATATTGCCACTTTAATTTTGTAACAAACAAAATCTAATAGACTAATACATTGTTTTCAGCTCCGTCGTAATACGAAGGTATTGCATGCACCTGTACATGGGTAATTTACTCCAATTTGATTTTCAAAATTTTGTTTTGCTATGCACCTGTTGGTTAGGGTATTTTTTAAACCACCATTTTAAAGTTGAGTAAGATTTTAAACAAATTGCATTACGTGCGAGAATTTGAACCACTAGCAAGAGGACTACTTTTTAAAATTACAAAGTGTCATGCACTTTGTTTATTACTTGTGTTCGGTAAACTTTCTAAGAGGTCTTAAACGCTGTAGACCGAATTAATTATACTCGGAGTGCTTATCTAAGCTTGTTACGGATACACTGATAGTTTGCCTCTACAGATGGGCTATAGTATACTCTACAAATGTACTACAATCCAACCCAACAGGTGGTCTATAGTTTGTCTATACGTGTGGATCCAATTCTGCCTTTAGACTATAGACTGTAGACAAAGCAACATGAATACAGGTAGCGTTATGGCCTTGACTTAGCGTTCAACTAGTTCAACACTAGAGATTATAACTCTTTAAAAATAGCAAAGCTACCCTTTTAGAACGAGGCGGTGCAGGGGACAGATTAAGCAGTTCACCTGTGTTTTCGGCACATGAAAGGATAGTATGGTCAGCATTATGTCCAGCCACCTAGCGTGAGTCATGTACCCATTAGGGTGGACTCTGGGACGTATTGCGGACTTTTGGGCGTGCGTTCTAACATCCAATTCTTCAGTCCTATTCTAAAATATCTTTGAATGTATAGAAAAAACAACCCACCACCACCCAAGTCTTACCTTATAACAGTGTAGTAACGAAAGAAGAGTTTGAAGCTGTCACCCTCGGCTATCCTGGCGTTCGAGTTGAAGAAGGACGGCACTTGGAAGATGAGAAGCAGCAGGTCAGACACTGCCATGGCCGTCAGGAAACACGTGGTGGCCGCCGCCATCTCCCGCCGGGTCAGCACGCAGAGGCTGAGGGAATTCCCGATGATGCCCAGGCAGCAGATGATGGGCACTAGGACCTGCTCGCAGATGTAGTGGGCCCTCATGACGTAGTCTGGCATCATGGGGACCTGAGTGACCGGCACGACCGGCCCTGCACTGGCGTTCTGGATCACATGGGTCATGTTGGCCAGGGCGGTCATATTGAGTGCCATCGTCTGCTTACCTAGCTCGGCTAAAGTCCGATATTTGATCTTGTACCACTCACTTCTGAAATTTTTACCTTTGTAAATTACACACACAATTATCTAATTAAACCGGCTTTCACTTTTTTTTATTCACAATCCTGTTGAAGTGTGTAAAGAATTTTAAAGTCCCTCACAACACCGTGTAACGTAAAGCTGTTGTTACCCCCTCCGTTGGTTCAGTCTCTATCCTCCCACCAACTATTCGCTTCTCACGGCTGCTGCTCTACCAAGGATATGCTATACGCGGAGACGCGAGAGTAGCACAAAGTACCGCGAGAACAGGCTCTTACCCCTGTGGTCACTCTGGCGAAACGCGGGGATCGACTTTTTATATCCGCCGCCGTGTGTGTGAGCACTCAATACAGGCGTGGAGCCAACCATTTGGGCGGAGCGTGCGCCTGATTGGGTCACCACTGCTCAGCTACGTACTTCTCTGTGTCAATACGATTTATGTCTATTTTTATCTTTTTTTTTTATTTCACGTTTAGGAGAGCGGTTGAGGGGGGGGGGGGGTAGAATGGAATTCTGTTAAAAGAGGGTCGGGACGGAAGCGGAAATCGAGGCCGTTATGTAAGAGGAAACAGTTCTTCCCCTTATGTTAGTTGGCGTCTGCTCCGTTGTCTGCCGGCTTTTTAACCTTTGCGGACGCGATAAGACGTAAATACGAGGGAGACGGTGATCCTACTGTGACCATCAGAAACAAATAGTGCTCATTATGTGCTATCTTATGGGAGAGTGGGGGGGGGGGGGTGGCATATTTGTTTTTACATTGCATATTATATATATATAGTAAACATTGTTTAGCAAGCGATGAAATACTTATGTGTATATATTTTGCATACATATATATGTATATGTATTTATATCTATATGTATATCTATATCTATATGTATATCTATATCTATATCTATATATATCTCTCTCTCTCTCTATATATATATATATATATATATAGTAGGTATTGGTACAAAGTTATAGCTACATGTAGCCATAGCCATAACTTTAGCCATAACCATAGCCACTGCCCCAGCCATAGCCATAGCCATAGCCATAGCCATAGCCATAGCCATAGCCATAGCCATAGCCATAGCCATAGCCATAGCCATAGCCATAGCCATAGCCATAGCCATAGCCATAGCCATAGCCATAGCCATAGCCACAGCCACAGCCACAGCCACAGCCACAGCCACAGCCACAGCCACAACCGTAGCCATATCTTTAGCCATATACTAAAGCATGTGCAAACGGATATGCCTATAGATATGAATAAGACTCTGGATATTTAAACAAGTTGTACAATGCAGTAGTTGAGCACAAGCATGTCTCTGTTACCTGGTGAGGTGGGAGAGGGAGAGCCCACCCCCACCTCACGTGTCGCTTTTACCTGACACAATCCCAGCATTGTTCCATCTCAAGCAGACTAGAGCTGTAATCTGCGCGCGCGTCTAATTCAATGTCTAGCAGACGAGAGGAAGTACGCGGTGCCGGTCCACAATTTTGGGATTTCCTGTCGTTCGAATACCATTTTGATGGCACTCGACATAGAATAGCTTTTAAAATAGTTCTCATTTTAGTTTCACAAAAATATGATTTCACCTTTGACGGGGTTTGGTAAACGTCGCTTTACAGCACGATGTTTTGTTTGGCTGACATCATTTCTAAGCAAATATCCAGTCGTATCAGTAACTTGTTTGTGGTTAAACTAGCGTTAGTTTTGATTGACTGCTGATGTCTAGAAGATGAGTGTTCAGACAAGAACATTTTTGTAATGATTTTTTAAAACTTATTTATCACCATGAAGCATAGGATGAGTCTAACAATGTCTCCCTCTTATGGATGTGGTCTTGTGACCTTGTCAATCATATCCATAACATGAATGTTGTCAGGTTTACGTCGGGTTTGATCAAATTATGTCTTACTAAATCAGCTTACAATATGACAAGTTATTAAAACATGTTACGGTTTTGCCAGTTGTACTTTGTAGCTACACTCTAATAACGTAGCTTTCTCGCTCTCGTTTTTGTTCTCTACGTCCACTCGAGTATTGTAACGAGTTAATGATTTTCGCGAGTTGAAGTACACACACACACGCACACACACACGCACACACACACACACGCATACACACACGCACTTACACACGCGCGCGCACGCACACCAACATGTCCAGCAGCTTAACTGAATAGTCTACTTTCATGGAAAAAATGCTGGTATTGTCAGTGTATAAAACAAAATCAAATGTCCTTTGCCTTACACTTATACCCTAGTGTACCTGTTCTTATGTGTGTCTTGTCTTGCATCGTGATATACAATACACAGTGGTTAAATCGTGTGAAATACCAGTCACTTATATGCAATACACACACTGACAGTTAGAACATAGTCAGAATGTTGCAGGGGGACGCCGTGATCGGCCAGTAAAGCTCCTGGTTTTTAAAATGTCCCCAGTTCGAACCCCAGGGCAGATGAGGTTTGATAGCTGGGGATAGCAACCCCAAAATCAAGCAAATGTTGCCTTGTAGTTTGTTCTCTGATGGACAAAGGCTATGGAAGTAAATCCAAAAAAGAAAATCAGTCTTTATTTGGAGTCAACAGTCTATATGGCGCATTCACAGGATTGACTTGTAAATGTAATACTTTATTATTTGGAGAAAATCCCTACAGCATTACATTTAAAAACGAATACGAAGAAAGAAGAAGAATGTTGCAATTTATAACATTTTTTAAAACGAATTTTTTTTAAAAGACCGGAGATAATCTTTTAATTTATATGTAAAATAATAGGCATTAATTATTTTATTATATTTGAAGATTTAGTGAGATTAATTACACCAGACACGCAACGCATTGAAGATAATATTCAAACCGTCATTTCACTTGCTTGATATATTGGCTGAAAGAATTTTTATTGCGCTACGTAACTATCGCGTACGTCTATTTCTCTTGTGACGTATGGTCCGTCTATCTGACAAAACGAGCATCTGGTTTTTCCCGGGATTGATTCCAGCGGAAGTGACGTCACGAAAGCTATCTCGGACCAACACTCGTCCATGAGAGGTATCTCACCTTCCCCGGGTCTGGTCTGTCTCACCCCATGTCACCCCCTGCCACCCACACACCCTGTGGATCGTCATGCAGGCGGTGATCGGGTGATACGGGAACCCTGCGGGGCGTCGTACGGTCGGTGGTCGGGTGATAAGCGTCTTGGTTGCCTCAAAACCCGCTAATCTGGTCACGTCATATTCGAGCTGGTATTAATGTCGGAGTTGCACTCGCTGACTTCCGCTACAGGAGAGGAACATGAGGATTTTCTCATGGTTGATGCATTTATCATTGTTGAGATTTAATGATTTTCTCATGGTTGATGCATTAATCATTGTTGGGATTTGATGATTTTCTCATGGTTGATGCATTTATCATTGTTAAGATTTGATGATTTTCTCATGGTTGATGCATTTATCATTGTTAAGATTTGATGATTTTCTCATGGTTGATGCATTTATCATTGTTGAGATTTGATGATTTTCTCATGGTTGATGCATTAATCATTGTTGGGGCTTGATGATTTTCTCATGGTTGATGCATTTATCATTGTTGGGACTTGATGATTTTCTCATGGTTGATGAATTAATCATTGTTGGGACTTGATGATTTTCTCATGGTTGATGCATTAATCATTGTTGGGACTTGATTATTTTCTCATTGTTGATCATTGTTGGGACTTGATGATTTTCTCATGGTTGATGTATGAATCATTGTTGGGACTCGATGATTTTCTCATGGTTAGAGTTTAAATACTCTTTGTGACGATGATTTTCTCATGGTTGATGCATGAATCATCGTTGGAAAGGAATAAATATTAAAAAGGGTTCGGTAAATGCACGTAGAAAACTGGTGGGGTTCGGTACCTCTAAAAAGGTTAAAAATCACTCAGTTTAGCCGACAACTGATTAAGAGCTAAGATTCGGTTTTAAATAATGTCGCTTACTGCACTCGATCTCTCGATAAACCACTATACACCCACGCTATAGCCCACGCTATAACCCCCTTTATAACCCTCTGTAAAACTTACTCTATAACTCACTCTATAACCCACTCTATAACCCACGCTATAACCAACCCTGCTACATCCTAAAACCCATACTATAGGCACATTTAACCCTCCATACCCCCACTAACCTGTCCTGTAAATCTAAACACTAACCTAATTCTATTCTACTGAAACGCTCCCAAAACTCCCCTCCCCCATACGGCTTGTATTACACACACTAGCAAACATTACTAAAGGTTAGAAAATAATAAGAAAAATTAGAAAATAAAAAGTCTATTTGAATGATTAACTCGTTTTTTTTTATGCCAACTGATCTTCACCGTTGAAAGAAAATTGTGCTTCCCTCAGCTAAAATTACGTGAGGTTTTGGGCGATTGGCGCCTGTGATAAAAGGTGTGGTAAAAGGTGGGGGTAAAAGGTGGGGGGATTTAAACAAATTTCAAAACCTAAATTTGCTTTTAGTCTTTAAAAATAACCATGAAAGCAAATTTAGCTCATTGAAGTTGTGTCATTTTTTTTAGTGTGGGCAGTGCTAAAAAGGTAGGATTTATGGTGTGTGGGCTATGTTAAAAGGGTAGGATTTATGGTGTGTGGGTTATATTATTAGGTTAGGGTTTATGGTGTGGGTTATGTTACAAGGGTAGGGTTTATGGTTTTGGGTTATATTACACGTGTAGGGTTTATGGTGTGTGGGTTATGTTACAAAGGTAGGGTTTATGGTTTTGGGTTATATTAAAAGTGTAGGGTTTATAATGTGTGAGTTATGTTACAAGGGAAGGGTTTATGGTGTGTGGGTTATATTACTAGGTTAAGGTTTATGGTGTGTAGGCTATATTACTAGGGTAGGGTTTATGGTGTGTGGGTTATATTACGAGGGTAGGGTTTATGGTGTATAGGTTATATTACGAGGGTAGGGTTTATGGTGTGTGGGTTATATTACGAGGGTAGGGTTTATGGTGTATAGGTTATATTACGAGGGTAGGGTTTATGGTGTGTAGGCTATATTACTAGGGTAGGGTTTATGGTGTGTGGGTTATATTACGAGGGTAGGGTTTATGGTGTATAGGTTATATTACGAGGGTAGGGTTTATGGTGTGTGGGTTATATTACGAGGGTAGGGTTTATGGTGTATAGGTTATATTACGAGGGTAGGGTTTATGGTGTGTGGGTTATATTACTAGGGTAGGGTTTATTGTGTGTGGGTTATATTACGAGGGTAGGGTTTATGGTGTGTAGGCTATATTACT